TATACAGACTAGATATTTGTAGACTAATGTCTTTCTATAATTATTTCCCTCTGTTCATGATCTCCAGGTGTTTGTATTTTTTATTTTTTTTTATTGTTGTTAGTTTATGTTTACCTGGGCCTTGCTGTATTACATTTATTTTTTGTTTTCTGTATTTTCTGCATCTAGATTCTGATTGTCATAGATCTCTGGTGGTATTTTATTCCCTTTGTTAAGCGCTAAGCTCCACCTGTGTTAATTAGTGATTCTTCCCCAGTCTCTCCTCTTTCCTTCTGCCACAGCTTCTCCACATTCCTTCTCATTATTCTTGTGCGTTGCTTGTTATTTCTCTACCCCTGTATCTGCGTTTAAGCTCTTTTTTTGTCATTGCTTTTTCATTATATTCAGTTTACTGTTTCTTACAATGACATTTTCTCCATTACACTGCCATTTTAACACCTCTTGAATCCGCTATTTTTCTATTACCTGCTACTGTCACTTCTTGGGAAGTTTTTTTATTTATTAAACCTTTTTATTTCACAGCTACGTGTGTCCTTCTTCAACCATGCCATTAAAGGTTTTAAGGTCAAATTCTGATCTCTGACTTAGCAACTTAACAAGTGCAAATTAAGAACACCATGTTTTGGTGTAACTGACATGCATCATACACAACTTAAATGTCCATATGCCATCTCACTGATATAGTAACCAGGTGAGGCTGGCCTACAGTAACATGTACAGAAAAGTATTTTAAAATCTAAAAGAAAAGAGACAAGTCATTTTTTCTAAACAAAAGTCATGATAGGGATAGTAAAATTTGTCCTTTTAATATTTGTCTATATATTTCTCCTTCTATGGTGACTTAACTTAAGCTTGACATGTGCACTAAAGCAGAACTTTATCCAAATGGATTGTAGCATCTCAGCCCTGTGCTGATAAGCAGGAGGATCCTGCTTCTATTAAGGCTGGAGGACTGAATCAGTGATTACAATGGAATTAAAAATGTTTGTATGTGTCCAAGGATACCTTTCTAGTTTGATTTGTATATCATAGGTGGACTCAGCCTAAGATAATATTGCTGGTTTTGTTGTTGTGTTTGTTTTGCAAAATTCAAAACTGTTGCTTTTTCTTCATCTCTATGGCATTTTTTTTAAGGTGGAGGGGTAAATCTGGTTTACCTACTATTCCGCAGCTGCTCCCTCCTACAGCTGGGAAAGCTTTAACCTTCAAAAAATGTAATTTGTTGTCCAACGTCATGACACTGATCTGCTGCCAATCATAAAAATGACTTTTTTTTTCTTTCATCAAGGTTTTGTTGAACATTCACCAACTGCTTAACAGTTAGGACTCTTTAAAGTACACCATGTGCCTATTTTAAGATGATAAGAGCACATTTAAAGAATTAAAGCTCCTAAATTTATAATATGATGAGAGGTTTCTGTATAGAATGGCTTGCCTATGTTAATATTATTATTAATTGCAGTAGTAGCACTAGCTTTTCTATTATTATTCATTCATTTTTAAACTATAAATGTTCATTATTTCTACCTAAAGTGCCAAGCAGTAAATATGAAACATTTGCACAAAAAAATCTCAAGAAAGATTTTTTTTTTTTTGAAGTACAGTATTCCAAACATTGTTGGTTTTAAACTATAAGTTTTGATTTTTGGGATGTGAAAGGAAAATATATACATTAATTTTCAAGTAATTAGATATATCTTTTTTTCTTTTTCTTATTCTTTATTTCTCAGATATCATTTTTTAAGCTTGGAGATGTAACCGTTTGTCATGGTAGCCCAGCGGTAATCTTCAGGGATCTTGAAAGATAGCCCACAACTAAATGATTATGCTCCTATCTGCTGTCTATTTTCAATAACCGATTGAAGTAAAAAGTAAAAAGTTCTTAATCTCAGCTTTCCGAAACATTTATTATATTTTTTTACTAAAACTTTATGCATTGTATTGTGTCAACTCCAAATAAAGGATAGCCTACTATTTATCTTTTAAATTAATAGATACTATATATCAAATGACAACTGATCTCTACCTATTTCTACTGTTCCCCACAACTTGAAAAAGAACCTTAACCTCTTTTAATATTTTAATGTAACTTTACATTTTAGAATTGTTTGCTTTACATAAAGTATGAATTGTTTCTGAACAAACTTTGTTGAACACAACAGCTCTGTACTTCTATGACCTACTTGGAGTGTCCTTGGTCCTCATCAGGGCCTTTCTGATGAGGATGAAAGGCTCTGTGCGTGTGAAGGGTTGCTGTCCAGCTGAGCAGAGGAACAGGTTGCTGACTCCTGGAGATGTCAGCTCCAAGTCTAGAGGAGATGACTGCATTTTTAAACAGCTGCTGGATTCCCGGGTTGGCCGTCCGCAGACTTTTCAGGCAATGCATTGTGATAGGTAGGGCTTAATGCTGAATAATTGAGACCGAGTTTAATTTCTCTCACTGCCTGCTGATCCTGACAAACAAATGTGAACGGTGGCCTTTTGGTCCTCAGAGCTTTAACAGCAGCTGCTGTCTCCCTGCGGATCATGTACAGTATGGGCTGTTACTAAGGGGAGGAGCTGTGACTGGGGCAGGACTGAGCGGTTCAATGACCAGCAGCTACTGAAGTGAAGCTTGATAGGATACCAGGTGTTGCTGCCATCTCAGCAGGCTGCTGATTTAAAATGTTATAACAGGCCAAACAAACTCCTTTATTATCCTGCCATGAAGATATTTTAATTTTGTCAGAATATGATATAATCAAACAATATAATTGCAAAGGTAATCTACTTAAGTGAGTTAAAATCTTAAGTTAATGTGCCATATTGATTCCTCATACAGAGTGAAATACATTTCAATGTCAGCTGACAGTGCTTGATTTCCCTCACAATGACGATTTGCCACAGCTGGTTAATAAAGCAGGAGGCAGCCTCTAGGGCTGTGTACAAGTATATAGATGGAGAGTTGAGTGGAAAAGTGTGGTAGAAAAGGGTTTAGAAGACCGAGGGATAACCTAACCTAATCCTAAAGGATTTAAGAGGGAAACTGAATTATTGCCTCCAATACCACTAAATCAGAAATAAGCCCCAACTTTTTGATTCCTCGCTTAATTCCGACCTCAAGCAAGCAGTTCAGAAGTGCCTTACCTGGGCTGGGGGAATACAAAGAAATTGATATATTTAAATATTAATTTCAAATTTTGATACTACATCCTAGAGTCTGGAACAAGAGTGATGTCATGCAGTGGAAAGGGAGCCCTGGCAAAGTATTGAGGCGATACACTGTAGAATAAGAACATTATTTTGAGAAGGTTGACTTTCCCATATTTAAGATTTTTCTTTTGCTTTGTTCCTGTTTTCTGAGATATTTAACGTGGGTTTCAATTACTTTTAATCAATATCCATTAAAATTACAACTACTGTATTACTATGATTAATCTATATAGAAGTTTTACTTTTATAACTGAATAAATACTTAAGATTCATTGTGATCCTCCAGTTTATTGATGTGTCTTAAACCAGTCCACCAAAGGTTGGTATATTCAGCCTTATTTCTGATTAAAATGTTTGCTAGCTTTGTGAAACTGCTTATACTGTTTCATTTATTTATTTATTTATTTTACAACTAACTTGTGTAATTGCATAAACTCTCCTGAAAAGTTGAGCTATATCATAACTCAGTTGCCTGGCTATAGATCTGTTATTTCATGAATAATACCGATGCTGATCATTATTAATACTGGAACAAATGTTTGTATTTCATGATTTAATTAAATTGTTTGTCATTTATTTTGTTTTTAGATTAATTTTGTCAGCTGTTTTTCAATATAATGATAAAAATAGAAATATTTGTGTTTTGAGTGAGCAGTGACGATGTGAGCTGTGAAGCATTCCTCCTGCTGTGAAATGGTGCCACCACATGGTGAGTCCCTCTCACTGTTTTACTCAGGCCCCTCTGTTTTGTCCTCTAGGTGGCGCACTTACTCAGGCGCTCCATTCAGGTCAGACTCCCTTCCCTAACTTGCCTTGTCGTTACCTGTGAGGACACAGAGATGTGTTTAATGAGATTATCCCTCTCTGCAATATGTCTCCTATCTCCTCTTATGTTAACCATATCTTATCATGCAGCATTTTAATTCAAATGAAAATAGGAGGCCTAACTTTAAATCTTCAAATGTATTTATATTAAAAGAAGCACAGAAAGATCAACTCACAAACCTTTGAAATTTAAAGACAAAATATTACCTTTTGTTAACTCAATAGATTCAGAAGAAAATCCCTAAAAAATCAGAAAAAAAAAATATATATATATATATATTTTTGTCTGTTAAAAACTAATTAACGATTATAACTTGGCAACTCAAACAAAAAAAATTAAAGCACCACTATAATTCAATATCAATGAATGAAATAATATATTATGTTTTGATTTTACCATTATTTGTTGTGTTTTATGAAAAGTGTATGTTGTTATTTGAAATTTCTGTTATTTTGGGATGCATAATTGCTCTCTGAAACACTGTCCTTTCCCTTTGAGTTGAAAGGTCATTTTTGTTCCCCACCACTTTTGGTTCTTATAGATTTTAGAGGAGATATCTAATGGCCCCTGGTTCTAATCCACCACACCCATGCTCAGTTTCAGAAATAATACATGCAAACTTTCATGTCTTGTAGTTATTGCCCTATCACATTCCAGGCAGACCTTTGAAGGTGACATGACATTATCCGCCCCCCTCCAAAATAAACAAGGCCTCTCAGGGTCCTGCCTGTCATGCCATGGATGTGACTTCTTCAACAGGGTGCACACTAACCCATAGCCTCTCTGCACTAGTGCCGCCGGTTGTAGCTTCTCTGTTTTCAGGAGAAAATGTTTTCCATTCCTTCGCCAATGAATGCCACCTTTGTCCCTTCATCCTCCATCTTGTGTGAGAACCCCCCCACCCCCCTGCACTCACCAAGCATGCACAAACTTAACCTCTTCTCCGCAACCTAACACAGGAAAGAAGCATACCTGAGGCTGGTCCTTTCATTCAGACTGTGTAATCAGGAGGTCTGGATAAAGACTTGGCTAGGAGGAGTTTTTAACCTGTTTTGGACATAATTAGGAAAATTTATGTTGAAAATTATTCTTGTACACTTTTAACCAAATATTAAATAGAACACCTTGTGTCAGAGAGGTAGGCATGCAGTTTTAGAGTCGATTACCATAGTAGGATTTATCTGTTATTACAGAGATGGGAAACACAACTTTTTTCTTTTTAAGATTTGTTCTCCATATAGTAAAGCTTTAAAAAAAAAAAGAATGAACTGATTTTCATTCATTCATATCCAGAATTGCATATTTAACTCCAACAGATTAAATTTCAGCTGCAAATATGCAAATCAAGTCCCAGTTATAATTAATTTTAGTCAAACACCTGCTAGAGAAAACTGCTAATTGCACACAGTTAAGTATGTGGTAGTCATAGAAAGGAATATAACTAATACTAATAGAGAAAGACCTCCAGAACCATCCAGCTCAATATTCACATCAAAGGACAAAGGCTCTCTGGAGAAATGAATTATACTGAAACCTTGCTGAAATCTCTCAAAATCACTTGTATCTGTTCAAGTAACTTAAAGATATTTATTTTAAACATGAGCTGGGCTATAGGTACATCTTTGAGCCTACATGTTTATCTTTTTTTAAAGTGTGAATAAAAAAAGAATCAATGATAAATCCAAACTTTTACATCCAACTCAAAGCAAAACTATTGAGGTGAAGTACTGCACAGTCATTAAACACCTAAACTGCAGCACTTAAGGAGCAACATCTATGCAGATGAGTGCATGTAAACTTCAGAACACTGCTGTAGCCATTTAACCCCTAAGCAGCCATTTTTGCAAATATGTAACAAACCCTTTGCATTACAAACCTTTGGTAATTTTTTTCTTTGAGTTATAACTGGTCCCTAATGGTATATGTTATCATTAACTGTTAGAAATGTTGCCACACGTTTGTAATATGCCTACATTTCAAAAAAAAAAAATTTTAAATAAATTGAAAGTTTCGATATTTCGATTTGGCAACTAGTTAAAGGGGTTAAAACTAGTCAAGGGGTTTAAAATAACATGACACTCCACACTCCATCATTTTCTTACTTGAATTTCTGTACTGAGACTGTCCTTGTCTGCAATCATCATCCCTTTTGTGGTCCGCTGTTTTGATTTGATGAAGGTTCCTAACTGACTCACAGAGTGAATGAAAACTAAATGACTCAGAAAAATTACTGAGAACAAAGGTAGACAGATTAGAGTTTAGAGTGACAAGGACCACTGCCGTTTCTCAACAACCAGCAAGCTCTGCTTTGTGACAACTCTAAAAGAATCAGGGTGCATCCCTGAATCTTGTATAAAATTCACTCCTAGCTTTAAAATTGCTTACTGACTTACTTGCTGTAGTTCTCTTCATGACCCTTCCTTACAAATAATAAACTAGTAAAAAAAACACTTGTCATTGGGTTTTGTTGACCATTTAGTTAGTTGACCAGCATCATACAGCTTAAGTTCAACTTGTTATCCTACAACCTCGGCGGTCTGTGAGGTTTTGCTGCTTAACAAAGAAGATCAGAGATAATACTTCTCTATTTTTGATATTTATTTTTGAGGTAAAGCGTATTTTTCATTTATGTTTGAATAAAGTCCTGAAAACGTTGTTTTCATCCTTGGATCCTACAGGTTTGCTTCTGCACTCCTCCAGGTGGGTGCTGACTACTTTCCTGTCACCCGTTGTGTTTTCGGTCCAAGGCCCAAAGCCACCAGTCGAACACTGTCACTGTGTCCAAACCTGGACACCCTGTAGACCCCTGGAGCCTCTGTGTACCCGTACAGTACAGACACCCCCCCCCTCCCGGGCGGAGACATACACACACCTCCTTCCAATCCTAGCCATCCCTTCATTTCCCTCTACCTTCAACCAGCCCTTCCTCCCCCACCTCCTCTTTTTCATCCTCACGGCTTCCACACCCTTCCTCGCCCACCAACCCCCATCCTCACCATGCAGCTATCCCACTGCCCTGCCATCTCGCAGCATTCCTCCGACCAAACACACAGAGGCCTATTGTGTGTGCTGGGAGAAGGCAGAGGAGGGTATACAGTCAGAGCACCAGAGAAAACTGATGTGTGGGGATGAAATGGACTCAGTATTCAGGCTGGATGCTGACACAGACCTATAGTGAGGTTGTGTTCAGATATATTGGACGTGTTGCACAGCCGAGGTATTTTGGTTGGGGGTTTGCACTCAATGGCTAAGATAATCTTGATTGGCTAAAACACCAGGGTTAAAGTAGATATTTGCAAACATTAAGCCTCATTTAGTGATCAATGCATCAAAAAGACCAGCACTGATTTAAATGGAACTCAAACATATATGCAGAAATGTGCTACCTTTTTCTTTAGTAGCAACTGTTTCACCTGCTTTATGATAATCTAACTTTGTTGCTCTTTAGTCCAGCATAACCAAAGATTTATGGAGCCTCTTCTTCTAACAAAGATCCCCTTTCATTTGGACTTATCTTCTGTAGAGTTTCTTATTAAAGATCATTCGTGTTTTTCATCTAACCTGTGGCTCAGCTTCATGATTGAGATTTTTGGTCTCTTGGTGCAATCTTGTCGAAACCCAGTATGGTCACAGAGTAATAGAAATCTAACATTTGCTGCAGATCATCTAATAAATGTCTGATTTCCACACAGGCTGGACCTTCCTCAGTGTAGTAAGAATAAAACAAAATAGCTGACTGGTGTTCTTTAATAATTCTCTCAACTTGCATTTGTTTAAGTTGCATGCAGCTTAATTAAACTTTCTCCTGCTTGTGGCTCATTGTATTTTTAATGGGAAAGTGAAGGTGCACCTCCAGCCCAGGCCCAGTGGGTCAAGTCATGAAGGAGGGCTTTGGTTAAAAAAAATAACCCTGAGTGTGTGGCCGCCAACAGATTAAGAGGGGAGGGAAAGGAGGTTCAGGTTACGGCCTGACAGGGGGTCCTGGGGGAAGGACCGGCGTTTTGGAATATACGAAGATCCATACAAGGCACAGTGGACATAAAACCGCGGTGCTTGCCCTGACGAGCTGGGTGCAGAGTGCCAGCTCGGGCCCCGCGTTGGATTCCACTTAGATTTTGGAAGGTTTCACTGCATGGTGGTGTAAGTCTCTGGGAACTTGTACTTAACACACCACCTGACTGTAAAACCTGGTCTCCGGCGTCTCTTTCATTTCTCATCCAAGCTCCTGCATGTCTAATATTTAGACATGTTGCGCTTTGTGGACTCAAGGACTGTTCTGCTACTTGTAGCATCCCAAGTTGTTTTACTATCCGTGGTCAGATGTCAGGAAGAGGATGATCGTAAGTTCCATTAAAAAAAGAGATGTTTTACTGGTTTGAAAATTTAATTATTTTTTTTCCAAGTGCTGCATTGGTTTTGTCAACTGAATCTGTTAAATAACTTTGCTGTGCTTTGCTTTCTTGAATGTCATTTACTAAACAAGATTCAAATGTCTCTCTCAGACAGCTTGTTCATCAATCTAGGTGAGAGTATGATGGTTAAGGTGTTAGATGGAGAAGCAGGTCTGTTATCACCTGTCCAGCCTTCCTGCTATGTCTGATCCCTCTAAGACACTTTAAAAGTATTTCAAAGTTTTTTGTAAGATTGCATTTATAGTCTGACAACAGCAAACATGAAGTCAGACACACTCTGACCTCATACTTTAGGGTTTAATGTGCAAAAAGGAAATTAGGGATGGATAAAGAGGAGTCTGCACAGCAGGTGATCAACAGGATTAGATGTTGGGGTGTTTTTACCAAGTTGGAGGAATGCTGTACTTCCTTGCAACTATTTGAAGGTTTTTTGTGTGCATGAAGCTAAGCTGTGTGTTCAGTAATTTGATGGAGATAAGTAACCAATTCTTGCAAATTTCACATAAAACAAGTCCCCTATTCTTACTTTATGTGTGTGAGTTTACACTAGTGCTTAACACAACAACGTTACCTAGACGGAGAACTTTAGAAGGAGCCTATGTTTATTCACAGCACCAGTCTGTCAATTGGGCCCAGTATCCCCATAATAGAGGTTCATTCATACAAGCAGTGCAGCAGGTTAAATACACTCTGTGAAATACCTCAGCTTAGTCTCTAGCAGGGACCGTTTGAGCTGACATTCAGGAAGATGTAGCCAATGAGTTTCTCTTAAGCTGAAGAGTAGCACTTTTTTTTTTATTTTTAGTCATTCATGTATATAATAGTTTATTCATTCCTACTGTAAAACACAAATAAGCGTTATTTGTGGTTTATAGTGTATTTATGGCTGGATATTCATCATCATAAACAAAGACAAAATATTTGTACTTTATATATGCAGATGAAAGAGTCATTTTTGCTATTACTTAATGTAGGATTTTTTACCATGTATTTTTTGATAAATGGTGATTTTTTTATGCCCCTCCTGTGAAACCATTAACTCCTCCCACTTCCTCACTTTCCTCCTTTGACCCCTTTTTCTCACTTTCTACTCCTAATCCAACATGATCTCCTCTTTCAACTCATCATACTGAACTCATCTCTCTATCTTTCTGTTTAACCAACCACTGCTGTCCCTCTCCTGACATCCGCCTCCTGCTGGCCACCACAGAGGAGGCAGGTGGCTGTGTCCAGGAAGCCCAGCAGTATAATGATAAGGAGGTGTGGAAGCCAGAGCCGTGCCGCATCTGTGTGTGTGACAGTGGAGCGGTTCTGTGCGATGAGATACTCTGCGAGGAGGTCAAAGAGTCATGCACCAACCCTATCATCCCACCTGGAGAATGCTGCCCCATCTGCCCTGCTGATGCCACTGCCCCTTTTGGTTGTAATTTATTTATTCACACACATATAAATAAATTACATTTCTCGCTTGCATTTAAATCCATAACAAGCTGAGACTTTTGAATCTGGAAGACACTTTGGAGCCTATTGCTCATTGCTGATGAGGTCAGAGGAACTCACTGATTACGGTGCATACGTGCATATGTTGCTTCGACTGAATCGTGTTTTAGTCGGTCATGCTCCAGTTTTCCCTATTCTAAAGTCTCTGTCTGCTTCTGATTTATGGAGACAAGATGAGCAAGAGCAACATTACTGTGATTTAATCACTCCCTTTCAAAGTGTGTGATTTTAATCTTAGAATATGATGCCTTTTGTCTCCATCTAAATCTTATCTTCTCAATTTGTCATAAAGCAAAACCTGTCATTGAACTCAGTATCAAAAACCTGATTCACTTTCTTCCCTAAAAATCTTTCCAAAGCATTGATTTTAACTATACTGTGCAAGGAGTTTAAGTAAAAACAATAGATTTTTTATATTAATATTGCATCTTTGACAATTTATCGACAAATAACTGCTAAAAATTGGTGTTTATGTAACAAAGCATGGTTTAAAATTAGCAAATTATGCATAATTTTACCCCATCATGTTTTAGTGAAAGTATAGCAATTCGTTTTCGAAACCATTCAAATAAGAAAATTGTTTGCTTGGCAAAATTTATTTTGAAATAAAATAAAGTCAGTTTCACGTTCGTAGATGCAAAACATGTAACGCTTTATATTAAAAATTAAATGCGCCTTCCATTTAAGGTTTTGCATTAATGGATAACGCTTGCCACATTCTCTTAGCTCACACCTGCTTCTGCTGCTTTATTTGCATCTCTAATATAATCTGGAATGGGTTTGGTAAAATGTGTTAAATATCTTTAGTATAATTATAGAAATTATAGGTTAGATAAATCATGTGTTTGGACATTTTTGCTTGAAGTTATCGTCTTTAATGAGCTTCTTCCTTTTCTGTCATCGATCCATCTGCAGAGGCGTTTGGTGCTAAGGTGAGACAGCGAACATCATCTAAAACATCATCATATATCTAAAAAAAGACAAATTATGACTGGACTCTGCTTTTTTTGGTTTATAACTTCACCTGATAAAATGTGTCTTTTGTGTTTTAGGGTCAGAAGGGAGAACCAGGAGAGATTGCAGATGTAAGTATGGTTCCTCACAATAAGTCTCTACCCACTGTAATGGTTGAAATATCCTATGATTATTCTGCTACTTTAACTTGAACTTTTATACTGATTATTCATAAACAAACAACTTTTTTACAGAATTTATTTCTAGACTTTCCTTTCTGTAAGGATAAAAAAAAAATTATATCATAAAACTAGCTGTAATGACCCAAAAGGTATTAGTGAAGAAAAACCCTGCATTCCAGGAGCATAATGAAGCCTGGAAAATCCTTTTAGATCTTCCAGTAGCTCCCCTGGAAGTTCACCTCTGATGAAAAACAGGTCAGCCAAATTAGAGGTCAAAGGAGGTGATTGGATTGGATTAAAAGAAAAAAATCACATCTTGTCAAATGAAATCACCGTTGAATTTTGCTGAACTTTTGGTTTATCGAGGTTTATCGACCTCCTACGAACTTTTGGTTTATTGACTAAGATAAAGGTACCGGAGACATGTCTGTTTAAATGATGGATGAAAGTCGTCAACAAAATACTTTTATTTTCCTGTCTAGGTTGTAGGACCTAGAGGACCACCGGGCCCTATGGTAAATATTTATGCTTCTTCTACATAAGTTTGGGGTTCTAAATAAGTGATCCGTGCAATACTAAATAACACCTTTTGTTTTTAATAGGGGATTTAGTCTTAATATGCTTGTTCTTGCAGGGACCTTCTGGTGAACAGGGACCACGTGGAGAAGCTGGCGCAAAGGGCGACAAGGTAACAAAGTACTTCCTACTTTTGCAGACAGAAAGCTTTAAGAGTTTTTGATGCAGGTCATATTAGGCTTCCAAATACCTTACCATAAAATGCTGAAAACTTTAAGAATATATAATGCTAAACGAACTGAACTTTAATATGTGGCTTATAACCAAAAATACAGTGTGATTATAGAAATGTGGTATTAAAAATGGTTCCTTATAAATTACATAGCAGCTTACGATTGATTACCTGAAAGTTGTAAAGGGGATGTGATAAAAACATCCCTTTGACTTTTACATAGGGAAGTCCCGGACCAAGAGGAAGAGATGGCGAACCTGGCGTACCTGGCAACCCTGGACCCCCTGGACCACCTGGACCACCAGGTCTCGGAGGAGTAAGTAGGAAGAAACAGACTTCACATCAGATTTCTACTCAGATGACACAGTATTACCTCCTTGATGCACATTATTCAGCAGACAGCTGACAAACACTAAGAGACATCACAGAAGAAAAAGAGTAAATGAATAATAACTGGCCTGTTTTATTATTTGTCCAAAAGCACAAGAAAAGCAAAGCATGGAAACTTAAGAAGCAACACAAACCATGCTCTATTTTCTAATGTAGCAGTTAGGAAAAAACAGCACATGAGCTAAAATATAATATTTCAAACAGCGCATTTTTGTTTTATCAGGAAGATGGAATGTCATTATAATAAAATAACACTCTTATATAGCAAAGGCTGATGAAGTTGATGAATTTCTTAAACTTTTTCTGTTTTATTGTTTTCTTTTGTTTTTGTAGAACTTTGCTGCTCAGATGGCCGGAGGTTTTGATGAAAAGGCCGGAGGTGCTCAGATGGGTGTGATGCAAGGGCCAATGGTAAGCAGGGCCTTTCATTTTTACTTTTATTGGATCTAAATATGAAAGATGGAAGCAGCACTGCTATCTTCATTGATAGAGGTGTTATTGCCACCTTGTAGGTCATTGATTTTTCCTTTTTTAAATCCCTAATTATAAGCTTGATTTAGAATTATAATTTCACCGGTATATTTTTTTATATATTATGTATAAATATCAAATAATAACAAAATAAAACAATATGATGAATTAAATTATTAGATTCTGGGTTACCAATACGTGTATGTCATGTGTCATCACAGGGTCCCATGGGTCCACGTGGTCCCCCTGGACCTACCGGAGCTCCTGTAAGTTCAATCATTTCAAATAATCACTCACTGTATGATTTTATTCTGGGTTACATGCTTATTGTGATCTGTTTTGTATTTTTTTTGTTTTTAACCAACAGGGGCCACAGGGTTTCCAAGGTGCACCAGGAGAGACTGGAGAACCAGGCCCTGCTGTAAGTTCTATAAATGGATCCCAGGATGTACCTGGATACCTAAAGAACTGATTTCAGTGATTGGGTAGCAACAACACCGACTTTCATAAACACATTCTGGTTATATCCTGTCTCAAAAGTATCTTTTTGTTCTCAGTCTAATGCTAATACTCTTTTTAAGTTTATTTTTTTAAGCCAAAGTTACATTTGGCTTAAAATGCTTTCTTAAATCGTCATTGTGTAACATGCAAACATAGATCATGAGTGTAAGTGATGTCGTATTTTGCTTTCTGACAGGGACCAATGGGACCTCGTGGACCGCCTGGACCATCTGGAAAACCAGGAAGTGATGTAAGTCTGGACATTTCCTCACTACCTGGAATCTTTAGTTCACTAAACTAAAACCTCTAAATCAACTTAAAGTTTTGCAGCTAAACTATATTCTTTAAATTAAAAAAACACATTTTTAATAAGCATATGTAAAATAAAAACTGAGCAGTTCTATCCAAATCTTAAGTTAAATAAGAAAACCAGCAGAACCTAGTTATCAAGTAGTATTTCAGTACAGCCTGTTAGGCTGCTGGTAGAGACAACCTGTTTACCAGCAGAGGGCAGTGTTTGTCTCCTAACGCTGAGAACTTTATCCAGTGGTTCCTCTCATTTCAGGAAAGCATGGGACTTCATGTTTACCTGTATATCTTCAATAATAATAAACTCATTTCCCTTTTTTTAGGGGGACCCCGGCAAACCTGGTAAAGCTGGTGAACGTGGACCTGCAGGGCCTCAGGTGGGTTATTATTAATCATTCTTAATTCAATGTTTAATTTGTCCCAACCCTAACTTCATCACTTCAGAATTATTAAAGGTCTTGCCTAGAAATTTGGGGATAAAAATGTTATTCTGTTTTTTTTTTTTTTAGGGAGCTCGTGGATTTCCTGGAACACCTGGTCTTCCTGGAATAAAAGGACACAGAGTAAGTATTGCAGCCTTTGGTGACTGACAGGAAGGGGTGAATAAGTAACTGATTACTTTTGTGAGGTTCATATCAGGTTTATCTTCTGATGCCATTATGTCATGCTCCCTGTAGGGTCACCCTGGTCTGGATGGAGCTAAAGGAGAGACTGGTGCTGCAGGAGCCAAGGTACAGTTAACTAAAATGAAACATCAGTTTTTTCCAAAAGCTTAGTTTTAGTTGCTTTTGGCTTGCATCTTTTCATTTTCTCCACCCTTCTTTACAGGGTGAAGCCGGTGCAGCTGGAGAAAATGGTTCCCCTGGACCAATGGTGAACTTTCTCAACCTGCTCCCCCAAACAATCAACATTACATGAGTATATGTGAGAGGTAAGAGCTTTAATAATATAAGCTGATCATTTATCTCCTCTATCATAGGGCCCACGGGGTCTGCCTGGTGAGAGGGGACGCCCTGGTGCTTCCGGAGCTGCAGTGAGTAACTTTTTTTAACACACCGAGTTTACTTTCATTTTGCTGATTTTATTCAATAAGTAAAAAGCCTTTATTTTGATGCTGAAAGATAATTGTCCTTTCTCTGCTCTCTCCAGGGTGCCCGTGGAAATGATGGCTTGCCTGGTCCTGCTGGTCCCCCTGTGGGTATCACTATTTTCTAGCTGGCTCATCCATTTTATCACCTTCATTATAACAGAAAGAAAGCTCTTGCTTTAATCAAGACACGGATCTAAAATAATTTGTTTTTTTTTTTTCAATTTTGTAGGGCCCAGTTGGTCCTGCTGGAGCTCCCGGTTTCCCAGGATCCCCAGGAGCAAAGGTTTGTCCTGATAACAAATATATTCACAAATATGTAAAATTTGCTTTAGATTTACAAAAAAAAAAAAACCTTGAAAAGTCTGGGACTTTTCAATTTCAATTCACCTGTTTTAATTCTTTTTAATGCAAATACATCCCGAAAATAATTTTCTAGTTTTTGTTAGTAGGTTTAACACATAGCAATGCCATGTTTAACGGACTTCTCTGCAAAGCTACTGTCATACTTAGCTTTTTACTTTAAAAATAAAGTAAATGATTTATTCTGCCTAAAATTCAACTGTGAGAACATTGTGGTGAAAAATTTTATTTAGATTAAATAAGTGCAGAGTACATTAGTATTTTAAGGGAAATGAAAAACACCTGTTGTTTCCTGTCAGGGTGAAGCTGGTCCTACTGGTGCCCGTGGAGCTGAAGGACAACAGGGACCACGTGGAGAGGCTGGTACTCCAGGATCTCCAGGACCAGCTGGGGCATCGGTTCGTTTCCTATGATTCTTTATCAATAAACGGTTCAATGTTTTAACATACTACTAGTTTATGTAGATGTAGAGTAATTTAATGCTTCTGTGTCTCTGCAGGGTAACCCTGGAACTGATGGCATTCCTGGAGCTAAAGGTTCTGCTGTAAGTCCACTTGTTCTCCACTATGGTTTAGCAATTTCTTATTCTATACCATTAAATAATTTGAAATACATTCTTGTGGATAAAACGCGATCCTCTACTTTAAATTGCACTGTATATTTCTCTATGAAGGGTGCTCCTGGTATTGCTGGTGCCCCTGGATTCCCCGGTCCCAGGGGGCCACCTGGACCACAGGGAGCAACTGGACCTCTTGGGCCCAAAGGACAATCTGTAAGCCATCTAGGATTGATGATAAACCATAGAAATACGGTTAATGAGGTAACTCTCACCTGATTCTCTCTTTATTACTTTGATGTTTAGGGAGACCCTGGTCTTCCAGGGTTGAAGGGTGAAACTGGACCAAAGGGAGAGCTTGTAAGTTGCTTTGTTTTGACCGTATAAAACATAAAGATACAACAAGAGACTCTAGGTGATATTAGAAGATCAGATATCAAAATATCTTCATATCTTTAGGGCCCTGCTGGTCCTCAAGGGGCTCCTGGCCCTGCTGGAGAAGAAGGGAAGAGGGGTGCAAGGGGTGAGCCAGGAGGTGCTGGACCAATCGGACCTCCTGGAGAAAGAGTAAGAAACCAATATCTTCATGTTACCATGAACAGGTTGATGGATGTTTCAATACTGATGTAATTGATTTAGACCCACACACACCCTGATCTAATATCTGCCTATTTTGTGCTCTTTCCAGGGAGCTCCTGGTAACCGTGGTTTCCCAGGTCAGGATGGTCTTGCTGGTGCTAAGGTTGGTCCTGCCTCAACAGATAACTGTTCATTTTGAATACGTTTCACCCATTTGACGTAAACTTAGCATATCTATTTGCAGCTTTAAAAATGCAAAACAGATTTACCAAAGCTGATTGGTGTGACACATAATTCACTTTCTTCAGGGTGCACCCGGTGACCGTGGTGTCCCTGGTGCCGCTGGGCCTAAAGGAGCGACTGGAGATCCTGGTCGTACAGGCGAGCCCGGCCTTCCAGGAGCCAGAGTAAGTTTCGCATCCCAAAGATTATAAAGGCAGATCAAATCCAATTGGTTTCCCATAATGTAAAATGAATTCGATTTAGTGTCTCAATTTAGCTGCCTTCTTTAACGTTCAATGACTTTTCCCAGGGTCTTACTGGTCGTCCTGGAGATGCTGGTCCCCAAGGCAAAGTCGGAGCTTCTGTGAGTAAAATGTTGATACATTTTTTTAGTATATTATCTTGGACATAACTAATGTTTTTCTGCACACAAAAAAGCTTGAAGCCTAAAATGAATTTTAGGCCTTTTTGAGTTTTAGGTTTCACACCTACAATAATTGCCATAAAATATTTTCTTTGAAACAAGCTCATTGCAACTTTGAGCAATTTTAAAACCAAACCTTCAGTCCATTAACCTACACTAAACAATAAACATCATTAATGTGATAATAAACTGGTTTACAATTGGTATATAGTGAAGTGTTACCATTAGAAGTCTTAGAAATTGTTCCTGATCTGCCTTCTGTTTCTTGTTGCCTTTAACAGGGTGCTCCTGGTGAGGACGGTCGTCCTGGTCCTCCTGGCCCTCAGGGAGCACGTGGACAGCCTGGAGTGATGGGATTCCCTGGACCAAAAGGAGCTAATGTACGTACCTAAACGTGTTAAATACAAAACCTCCTTTACAAATGCAAGAGTTGAATACAACAAAAAAATCATAGATGCAGATAATGAAACCATTTTAAGTGTTTGACAGGGGAAATTATAATAATTGTCTCTTCAATAGGGTGAACCTGGAAAGGCGGGAGAGAAGGGACTTGTTGGTCGACCTGGTCTAAGAGTGAGTAGACCTTCACCATAAATACTCATTTACTAAAAAACTAAGAGGAACAAAAATTAACCACTATATAATACTTTCTTAACTTGAATATTCCTCTTTGAACAGGGTCTACCTGGAAAAGATGGTGAAACTGGTCCATCTGGACCTCCTGGACCTGCTGTGAGTATTTTAGTATACTATCATATTAGTATAAATTTTATATTAAACTGTCATCTAGAATGATGTCCACATTTATCAACTCAGGGACCTGCTGGGGAGAGAGGAGAGCAAGGACAGCCTGGACCTCCTGGCTTCCAGGTGAGCGTCTATTCACATCAAACTGCTAAAACAACCATGCATGAATCTGCTTTAAAAATTCACCAACTGCCTTATTGCTTTTGGACAGGGTCTGCCTGGACCAACTGGTTCCCCAGGAGAGTCTGGAAAACCTGGAGATCAGGTTAGAGATAAGAGCAAAAATCTACACAACAGATTAGTTGCGTCTGTTGGTTTCTCTGTTGTCAACATGCTTCTCCAATCTCTGTGAAAAAAAAACACAAACATTTGGTAGCAGCCTGAAACACTGGAGAAAAAAGCTTAGACTACAGTAAAAACTAACCTCTACTCTACCTAATAATAATAGCTTACTTCCTTTTTATCCATAAAGGTAGGAATTAAGTGGTATAGTGCCTTTGGTAAATGTCAATGTGATCATTGTAAAGATATTGGAGATTTTCTAGTCCTGACCATAAATGCTAATCATCTTTTCCTATCAGTTCTGTATTTTAAAGACTTTGAATTTTGTTTTTCATATAAACCTCTATCATTTCTGTAATAATGCAAATACCCATCAGGTGCATTTGTTGGTGAATAATAATGCAGCACTGTGATAAGCTTATGCTTGTACTTCACAGGGTGTTCCTGGAGAAGGTGGAGCTCCAGGTGCTGTTGGACCCAGAGTGAGTCAACATGTTTCTTATTGTCAGAGTCATCATTGCAAAGCAGACTTGGTTTCACACCTAAAGATCTTTATTTTAATTTAATTTTAGCATTTTTTATGTTCTACCAGTTAATTGTCTTTGTATTCTTTTTTTTTTTTTTACAGGGTGAGCGTGGTTTCCCTGGTGAGAGGGGTGGTGCTGGGCCTCAGGGTCTTCAAGGACCCCGTGGACTTCCTGGAACACCTGGAAGTGATGGACCCAAGGTCAGTGGCTGATTTCTACACCAACTTAAATTGTTGCTAAGCTCAGTATCTTAGGGACTGATAGACATTCACTAAGCGTGACCTTGAAAAAGGGATTCAGCGGACGTGGTTTTACATATTAATGTCAGTTCAAGTAATCTAAAGCTTTGAGGTGCGTTAACATCTCAGTGAAGATATATGTTACTGAATCCAAGGTCATTATGAAACAAACAAATGCCAGTTTGATTGTGTTAAACCTGTTGGGTCTGGAAACTATAACTGTTTCAGAACTTTCATCTGGGCAGAAGGCAATCACCACCCTGACTGGGTCCAAACCTAAGCTTTCTAAAGACAGATGAGTTTACCTATGAAAATATCTTTTGGGGAAATGTAATTAAAATGTGTCCAAATTGAACTAGCTTAGCTCTACAACAAACATTTGAGATAATCTATGATAATTACTGGAAAAAAAAACTTTCCTTTTAAAAGTCTATACAGATTTGATCTTTTGCCTCACACCATTTTCTCACTCAAACTACTTTTATAGTCAAACAAAGAATGGAACAAATAATGAAATGCAATTCATAATAGGTAAATTAACTTTTTGAGGAAAAGAGCTTTGCAAATCTGCCTGGATCGATCTGGTAAATATTATAGCCCGTCACGTCCTAAACTCTCTTGTTTCAAAATTACTTCAAGTTGACTCAACCAGGAGCTTACAGAAGAAAATAAGTTCAACGTCCAAAGCATAGCAGACATAATTTGTGTTAGTTAGGGTATGAGTTTATGAATAAGGAGGAAAGAGGCTGAGTAACAGGAGAATTGCTTTTCATGGGTGAAAGACACTTCTAGTCAAAAGGAAACACAGATCACACAACTTCTTAGAGGATGTATGTCCATGTTGGTGAAGAACTCAGAAAAAGGTTTTACCAACATCTTTAATGGCGGTGCTGTGATGGACTGCAGCTTCTTTGTTGCTTTCCATAATAGATTAACCCCAGAATACAGCTCTTCAAAAAGGCCAGTTTGTGACCTTAAGGTGAAGAATACTTTATGTGTGAGGAAAATGATCCAAATTACACCAACAACACCTCTTAATGGCTAAAAATGGGTCATATTGGTTTTTATATCTGGACTTGATTCAATTCAGATCCTGTTACATGGCCTCAAAGAGGCTGTTGTGGAGTTGAATCAAGTAGATTCTGCCAAAAAGAGTGAGCCTTTGTTTCTTTAGAATGTAATGTAATGAATTTAGCATGTAACACACTGACTGCCCGCCGACTCAATTCCAAAAAGCAACTTTCTTTTAGTTTATTCAAATAATGATATTTTGTATTTAAGTGTTATTGATAAAAAAATTAATTTGATGATCTGAAACATTTACCTTTCCCCCAACACTGCTTTACTCAGGTTGCAGTGAGTCTTTAAAGATTCACCTTTAAAGGAGCTTGGGTTCATAATATAAGGCCTTTTCTAACATGGCACTACAGCTTTGTTCAACTTCTCTAGCCAATATATTTTTGAAGAGGATGTTTTTGATTTAAAATATACTTTTTCTCTTGATATTAAATCTTCTGAACTAATAGAAATTCTTAGTTTTTTCTAATCTAGAGAGGAGCAGGAAAACCTTTGCTTAAGATCAACTGCTTCAAATACAACATGACTGATTACATACCTTCCTTGTCTTTATCAGGGTGCTATTGGACCAGCCGGTGCCCCTGGAGCTCAGGGACCCCCAGGTCTGCAGGGTATGCCTGGAGAAAGAGGAGCCGGTGGTATCCCAGGAGCCAAGGGAGATAGAGTAAGAAACATATAGTTGGTGTTTGAAAAACCTTAGCTTTGTAGATTATGAAACAGTGTAGTTCTAATTCATTGGAATGAGAAGGAAAGAATTACTGTACTTTCATTTTTCATGGGTTTTTTTTGTCTGACAGGGTGACAACGGACAGAAGGGGCCTGAAGGTGCTCCAGGAAAAGATGGTGCTAGGGTGAGTTCAAAAGAAATCTTTAAACTCTTATGACTGGCTTTATAACTCTCTTTTCTTTAACATATTACATCTTAATTCTTTATTGTGTTCCTCTCTGGTGCAGGGTTTGACTGGTCCCATAGGTCCTCCTGGCCCATCTGGACCAAACGGTGCCAAGGTAAGAATCCCAATGTTGCTCAATTGATTGGTAACAAGTTTTAAGATTGGATTTAAATGGAATTCATAATCAGTTTTTTAACCAGTATTCCTTTCAACTTCCAGGGTGAAACTGGACCTACTGGTCCTACTGGTGCTCCTGGGGTCCGTGGTGCTCCTGTAAGTACTTCCTGTTAAACAGGAACATAACATGATAGTCAGGTTGTGTGATATATTCATGGGTGTGAGATTTCAGAGTTCTGATATTTAAAAATCAGCATCTTGTTGATGGTCTTTTGGCCTATTTCCGCCGACAGCCCACAATCTTACCCCTGGCATAATTTCACAGAGCTTAAGGTTTTCCCGTGCTTTCCCAGGAGAGTTCTAACATACTCAACTGATAATGTCATCACAGGATCAAGTACTTATTTCCTCAACTCGATAAAAAAAAAGGATGTGTGAAACAGAACAGTAATAAATATTATACCATATTTTTTTCTTCTCTGTCCATATTTATTAGCATATTTTTGGTTTGGTTAATATGACTGACCTGTGCCATTCTCTATATTTCTCTTAATGAGCTTCTACTGACAACCTCTGTACTTTGTTCTTGCAGGGTGACCGTGGTGAGGTTGGTCCTCCTGGACCTGCTGGCTTTGCTGGACCTCCTGTGAGTAAATAAACCATTGTTGTTTGTGTTCATTTCAAGGCACTTTCCAACAATTCAACCAGATCATACAGTCAGATTAGTTCAAAGTGTTTTATCTAAGGAAAACCAACTGATTGCATCAACTCATTGACTCTTCAGCAATACCTCACACTAGGCATGCATGCAGTCACAGTGAAGAACAAATCTTTCTTTTAACAGGAAGAAACCTGCTAAAAACAGTAACAATCCTGTTAACAAGGAGTTTAAATAAAACTTGTGCATTGACATTCCATTCATTGTACTGTTCAGGGTGCAGATGGTCAGCCAGGTGCCAAGGGAGAGCTCGGAGAGTCTGGGCAGAAGGGAGAAGCTGGTGCTCCTGGGCCTCAGGGACCATCTGGAGCTCCAGGACCAGTGGTGAGTATTTGGGACAAAAGCTTAGTCCTAGAACTGAATGCTTTGTGTCTTGTAGCCATTTTAAACCATGAATGGAAACATGCAATAGAATGTAGAAAGTATATTTTATTCTACTTTTGAGTCACCATGACCAATTGCTTTTTCTGCTCTTTTTAGGGCCCTACTGGTGTAGCGGGACCTAAGGGAGCACGTGGTGCTCAAGGAGCTCCTGTGAGTAACATGTACTCAAAAAACCTAAAGCAAATCCCAAAAATCTAAATCACAAGCATTTAAACATGTCTGATACTGTATGAATACTGATAGGTCACCCTACACCCACTTTGTTTGATTTAAAATCATTCATTTCTGATCAGAAGTTTAATATTTATATGTGGCCCCAGCGCCTAACAGGAGTCAGCATCACATTGTAGGGAAGGCATTCAGGAAGCTTTACTGTGGTCAGACTAAGAAATAAAGATGGTTATATTCAGCATCTTTTCTAAAATGTATTTTAAGGCTAAAATTGACATCCATGTTTATACAGATGCATTAATGTCACAAAGTTAAATATATTCAAACTCTCAATTCAGAATTTGTTAATGCTAACAAATGCATTATAAAACCACAATACTCTGTCTAAACTGAATAAACAACTATAATAATACCTACAACCATTTTACATTATTTTCTAATGAGCTTCAAATAATAGTGAGCTCTATATATCTATCTAATACTTTAGCTGTATAGCATCAGGCAAATGTTCAGGATCTGAGAAGGTGAATAAAGTAAGGTGATGAGTTCAACAATACACCACATATTATGCCTCACATAGCTTTTCAGACTAACATCAGGCGCAGTCATCTAAAGATGGCCGTATGTCTATAAATGGAATCCAGCCAGCATTAATTATAGAACAAGAACTAGGATCAGGCCTGCACTGCTTGTAGCATAAAAATACCTTTTTTTTTCAGTAGGAACACTTTACATTCAGGGAACAAGGGGCATTGATATAAGCCTCTATAATGCTCCAGCAAAAACTGGATTATTACGAAACTACGGTACAGATCAGTGTAATCCCAGCCAGCCATTATTCAGCTCTCATTTGATTTAGGAAGCTTTTGAACAGCTAAAGAAAAACAAACAGTTGTTTCTCAAAAGCAAAAAGGGATTTTTTCATAATAAGTTGTTATAATATAGAGATGTGAAAGGCTCTACAGTCATGAGGTGAATGATAATTTTACTGCTGCGCAGCTTTCAGTCACTGACACACTGCTTTAGTAGGGTAAACCAAACAAGAACACCACTATGCATTGAATGGTCGAATAGAATAGAATAGAATAGAATAGAATAGAATAGAATAGAATAGAATAGAATAGAATAGAATAGAATAGAATAGAAAATCCCTTTATTGTCCCATATTGGGGAAATTGTGGTTACATAAATCTCTATACAGGCATATTAATGGAAAGTTGAGTTGAAACAAAATGGGGAACAACCAACAGGTATAACAGCAATCTTATAAGAATCATAAAGCCAATCCCAGGTTCACAGGGTGTGGACTCTTGATGAGGTCAGTGTTAGAGGTCGTTTTTGAAGTTCCCACAGTTAGAAAATCATGTTATCTGCTGTTTACGACCCACTATTTTATTCGGCCTCAAGTCAATTAATCTGTTAAGCACAAAAGCTGAAGAAGCTTCATCTTTAATTTTGGTATGTTTTATAAGGATGCTTTTTTTTATTTTGAAGCAGGAGATAGTACCTTCCCTATCTGCCAAAATAACTGACACCTGGTCTGATATCAACAGCATACATGTGTGTGTTTGGTCAACAAATTTTTCCAACCTATTGTCAAAAAGAAGAGGAAGAATCCAGACCTAACGGTGCAGACAAACTAAAGGATGCTTTTAAAGTAAACTGGGCTTAATCAGCACCTCAGCAGAACCACAGGCTATACATTTATAAATATATGAATATGTATTGTGTACATGGACATACTTTTCAGCAGACTGAGATTGTTTCATTTACTGAGAAAAAGGTTGTTTTTAACTGTAATAATCAAAATCAGCAGAAATAAACACTAAATATATCAGTGTGTGATTTAGAAAAATGCAGATAGACAAAACATTAAAGAAAAAAAGTGAAAGCTCTTTCTGCACTTCAAGAAACATTTCAATGCCCACATTATTGCAAAACCTGCAACTCTGTCACACAGACATTAATCAGATATATTTATTGATTGAATTATTAAAATAAAATAACTCTTTGATGATTAATAGTTAAAGATTTACGGAGACACAGCTATGGATCTTGCTCATAAGCTTGTTTAGAGTCTAAAACTAATTTGCTTCTTTATGCATATCTCATTTTTCTCTTAAAAAGGTGTGTTTTTAATTAAAAGCTGCAACAATGAAACAAACAATATATGAAAGTTTTCTTTTTTTGACAGGGTGCTACAGGTTTCCCTGGTGCTGCTGGCAGAGTTGGACCTCCCGGTGCTAATGTGAGTGTCTCACATAAAAACAAAATTAAAATCTAATTTAGGTACTGAATTTTTCCTTTCTCACCTTTTGAAATTCTTTGCCTTTCCATCGCAGGGTAACCCTGGCCCTCCTGGTCCTGCTGGTCCTTCTGGTAAAGATGGTCCAAAAGGTGTCCGTGGTGATGCCGGCCCTCCAGGAAGACCAGGAGATGCTGGGCTCCGTGGACCCGCAGGGCCTCCAGGAGAGAAAGGAGAGCCTGGAGAGGATGGACCTCCTGTGAGTTACCTAGTTTTGGCTCGTAGTAAAATCTGTGACTTATCCTGAGAGTGTTAACCCTGGTGTCAATCATCAGTTATTTTAGTTATATTTTCTTAGATGGCAAATTTCTAATTGATTAATCCAGATACAGCTTTACATGAACATCTGTGATCTCTGTCTTTCCTCTACAGGGTGCTGATGGTCCTTCAGGTCCTCAGGGTTTGGCTGGATCCCGTGGTATTGTTGGTTTGCCTGGTCAGCGTGGTGAGAGAGGCTTCCCTGGTCTCCCTGGACCTTCTGTAAGTGCTTTTATCTATGAACTGTTGTCTGCTAGATATCACCAGTGTAAAACCTGATCATATAAACTCAGCTTAGCTGAGTTAGAGTTTGTCTCTATTAGTCATATTGTTCAATAGATTAGAGATTTTTTTTTTCTGAATTTAGAATGATTATAGTCCTTTCTCAAAGGTGCTGACAACATTTTGTCTATGTTTAGGGAGAACCTGGTAAACAGGGATCCCCTGGTGGTGCTGGTGACCGTGGACCACCTGGACCTGTCGGGCCTCCTGGACTCACTGGGCCTGCTGGAGAGCCTGGCAGAGAGGTAAAAGAGGAGCAACAATAACAACCAAACAGCTGCATTTATAACACTGAAAATATATATAGCAATATATCATAACAGGGAATACTATAGCATGAAAGATATGCTATTGTTTTTTAGGGAACCCCTGGATCCGATGGACCTCCTGGAAGAGATGGAGCTGCTGGAGTTAAGGTGAGGAGTTTTGGCTTCATAGATAGAAGGGAAAGTAAGCATTGAGCATCTGAACTTGACTTGAATTCACCTCATATTGTTAAAAAACCCATATAATCCACCAAACAAACACAAAAAACAGCACAGCTTTAGTAATTTCATTGATTGCATGGTTCTACATGCTGTGATGGACTAGTGACCTGTGCAGGGTGTACGCCATCTCTGACCCGGTGACCTTTAGAGATAGGCACCAGCCTGTTAGGTTAGGAATCTCTCAAAGTCACTTCCTGATAATCTGAGCTCCTAAAGTGGAATGTGTGACTTGGCCATTATCTATCATCTTAGAAACCAGCTGTGTGTTTGGCACTATTGTCCAGCAGAAAGTCATCAAGAATATCCCCATCCAAACTATGTTCAATGAAATGAACTCTGCCAGTATCATATACTGAAAGTCAAGACAATCTCACATCATAGTGTTCTGCCTCCAGACTTCACTGTATGGTGTTCTTCCAGCTCTGCTTCAGCTTTTTCTGTTACTCTGCAGCAAACTCTAAGCAAGTGTAACATGCTTTCTCAGGGGTAGACTCCTTTGCTGTGAGCATGCTCAGGGACCATATCCATTAATTAGGTTTTTACTTAAACTGGACCTACTAATCCCAGGTTTATCCTCTGTGAGAAATATTGTGAGGAGCTTCTGATTGGATCTGGTTAAAAAAGTCTGACTTTCAGCTGACGTTCCTGATGGCGTTCACTGGAACATTCAGAACAGTTCAGCAACATAGGCCATTGATTAAGACAATATTAGCTGATATTAATTTGTCTGAATAGGTTTCAGTGATTCTTGTAGCATTTTGTTTGATGTTGTTTTTTTTTTTTTTTATTTAGCTTCTTATATTGTTGTTTTAACTTTTATTTCCTTTACCATTCTATTTTATTACCTTTTCCTATTGTATAGATTAATCTGTACTTTTTCCTAATCTGTGAATTATTTGGGTTGTTACTAATAATTTGCTGCGAATTTTACATCAATGAGGCCATTATTAATTTGTTCTTCTTCTTCTTTGCTGTAAAAAACTTAAATCATCCAGATCTGGAATTTATTGCAAAGACATATATAATCCTGCATTAAAACATTGTATCCTCCTGTAGGGAGAGCGAGGTAACACAGGTCCTGCAGGCGCCCCCGGAGCTCCTGGAGCCCCTGGTTCTCCTGGGCCAGTTGGACCCCTCGGCAAGCAGGGAGATAGAGGAGAGCCTGTATGTAACACCATACTCTGTTAATGCCACAGAAATACCTTTTAACATCTTACGATATTTTATATGAATATGAGGATCTATCTTGCATTATTTTAGGGTTCTCAAGGACCTGCAGGTCCACCAGGATCAGCTGGTGCTAGAGGAATTGCTGTAAGTATCATAAACCGTAAGATATAAAATATGATTTTAACTCTGAACTAGATTAACAGGCTATAGATACATGAGCTTAAATCTCACAAGTTGGCGAAACTCTTTTAAAGGGACCCCAAGGACCACGTGGAGATAAGGGAGAGGCGGGCGAGCCTGGAGAGAGAGGACAGAAGGGTCATCGTGGCTTCACCGGTCTGCAGGGTCTTCCTGGACCTCCAGTGAGTGTTTTAAAAGCTCCTGTCCTCAGTCTTATTATTCGTCTGTAATTTCCATTTGATAATCTGTTGTTTTTGATCCAATAGGGTCCTGCTGGTGATGCCGGAGCCGCCGGACCTGCTGGACCAAGCGGAGCTAAGGTGAGGAAACACAAAGATAAAGGGGAGAAATAAATCAAAGCAGTTCTCCTGCAGAATCCTATGTAATAGTAACATATTGCACAAATCAGTCTTTTTATAAGTTTCCAGTGAAAAGGTGAAGACGAGAGGAGATAACTGCATGTTTTAAATACCCGTCACTGTGATAAGACTCTAGCGGAGGCATTTTATAATTACTGTATGTCAGAAATGTGGTGAACAAGCAGCCAGGTTTCTGCTTCATGATACATCCAAGATTGGAAATGGATTTTGGTGTCTAATATAGATAAGCTCAGAACTGTGCATGATAAGAAAAACACTGCACAGCTTATCGTCATACATATTAGTGAAAGCTTTGAAAGTTAAAAGTTATTCTCTAAACTTCTGTTTGAGATTTAGACTGACAGGCAGAAACTTAATGGAGTTTAACTCCTGAGCCAAATTATAGATAACTTTCTCTGACTGTCACTTTGACACTTGGTTCAATAGGGACCCCCTGGTCCAGTTGGACCTGCTGGTAAAGACGGGTCTAATGGACAGCCTGGCCCCATTGGACCTCCTGGACCTCGAGGACGTTCTGGAGAAACGGGCCCTGCTGTACGTGAACGTTTCATACAATCCTCATTTCTTTGTATTCTGTTCATTTTCATTCAGATAATATTTCCTGTTCTTGTTTTCTTTCAGGGTCCTCCTGGTAACCCTGGGCCCCCTGGTCCTCCTGGTCCTCCAGGCCCAGGTATTGATATCTCTGCCTTTGCTGGTTTGGGTCAGACTGAGAAAGGCCCTGATCCTCTCAGGTACATGAGGGCTGATGAGGCCTCTAGCTCCCTGAGGCAGCATGATATTGAAGTCGATTCAACTCTCAAGTCCCTCAACAACCAGATTGAGAATTTGCGCAGCCCTGACGGCACCAAGAAGAACCCTGCTCGCTCTTGCAGAGACCTCAAGCTGTGCCACCCTGGCTGGAAGAGCGGTAGGTGGATCCAACATCAAGATATGACCTGTTGCAACATACTAAATAAGCTTTATTTAAAGACTCTTGAGAAAGTGCCAATAAAGTCTACTGACTAACAGTAAAAACAGAAAGGTTTTTACTGCCGCTGAATGAAATGGTTGCATTCAGTTATTTTCAAAGCCTTTCATAAGGTTTTGTCACAATACAACCATTAATGAATATCCCATTAAACTGATCCATGGTTTTCAAAAATAGCAAAGCAACAACTGCAACAACCATTTGTTTTCAGCCTCTTTTACTCTGATACCGCTGAATAAAATGTTGTTTAGCCAAGTACCTTCAGAAGACACCCTCAGTATAATGTCGGCTGTTCTGTGCAGGCCTAAGCAGTTTATGAGAGTTTATGAGAATACGCTGAAAAAGGAAAAGTTTTCACTGATACCCTGTATCCATTCTGAGTAGATTTGAGCTGGTTTGAAAGAAAAGGTGTCAGTCTCTATGTGCAGAACTGAAAGTACACACTCTAAGTATTGGTAGCAGTAATTGCTCTAAAATCCTTTAACTCAGGGCAATGCACTCGATTTTATGCACACTTATATGCTCTACCTACTATGTGCTGGTTTTCAATTAACTGTGAAAATGACCGTGTGAACTTGTAGCTTAAACAAAGGTGACTAAGTTCAAATTTAATCTTGCCCCTACCCTACCTGACCTAGGCTGGAGAAAAGGCTTCATGAAAGATTCCCATAAATTAAATACAGGGCTTATTGAATTAAATACCAAACACTTCCCCCTGTTAACGGCATCATTATTATCTCTTCAGGTGATTATTGGGTTGATCCTAACCTGGGCTCCACAGCCGACTCAATCAAGGTCTTCTGTAACATGGAGACTGGAGAGACCTGTGTCTACCCAACCATTCCTAATGTACCAAAGAAGAACTGGTGGACCAGCAAGAGCAAGGAACGCAAACATGTCTGGTTCGGGGAGACAATGAATGGTGGCTTCCATGTAAATATAAAAAAGAAACAAAACAAAGTTATTTTTCGGATCATGTGATCATATTCAGTGAAGAATGCTAACCTGCTACTTGTTTTTTGTTTACAGTTCAGCTATGGCCAGGATGGTCCTGCTGCCAACATACAGCTAACCTTCTTGAGGCTTTTGTCCACTGAGGCATCTCAGAACATCACTTATCACTGCAAAAACAGCATTGCATACATGGATCAGGCCTCAGGAAACCTTAAGAAGGCATTGCTACTGCAGGGCTCCAATGATGTGGAGATCCGCGCAGAGGGCAACAGTCGATTCACATACAGTGTGCTGGAGGATGGTTGCAAGGTGGGTGCAGAACAACGTTTGAGGCACTAGTGTCTGTGTGTATTTTGATACTAAAGTCTCTCCTGTCATCTAACAGAGTCACTCAGGCCGGTGGAGCAAGACTGTCTTCGAGTACAAAACACAGAAAACCTCCCGTCTGCCAATCGTAGACATTGCTCCAATGGACATCGGAGGAGCAAATCAAGAATTTGGAGTGGATGTAGGCGCCGTCTGCTTCTTGTAAAGTGGAGTACCCCAATGGCCACCCCCCAAAACACAGGAAATGACAACCATTAAGAAACTGAAAACATTCCACACATTTTCACAATAAAGGAGACTGGAAATTAACAAAAAAAAAAAAAGAAATTTTATAATTTTTTTTTCACAACAAAGTGCTCTCCAGGTTGTACTTCCTGGATGTGAGCACTGAAGGGCAAGGGCAATATCTGTACACCAAACCAGCATTCTCTGTCAACCCACTTCCTGAGATCCAGTCATGTTTCCGTGGCCCAACCGTTGATGGAAATTAGTCTGAGCCAGGAAGGAGGAAAGAGTGGGACCAAGAAACCAAGTTATGGAGAAGAGAAACATGACTTGATGTCACTTATTTATTGTCTAATCTAAGTGGGCAGAGTTGGGATAGGACGGGACGGGCTCACTTTTGTACGTAACAGATGCCTCCCCAATTTCCACTACAGAACAGCTGCACAACTTCTGCCCCAGTCCTACGCCACCTCCCTCGTTGTTTTCCTCATAAATACGGCATTTTGAATCAGTGTAGACCTAACAAAAATGTACGTCTTTTTATTTCATTCCCAGCAAGCTAAATTTATTCTTCTATGGACCAGACAATTATGAGCATAAAATAAAAAAAACTTTACTGTGTATAATAAATATTTGGTTCTAATGTTGTAAAAGTATGTGTTTATAAACAACCAGTTGGTTTTATATATACATATATAGATATATCTCCACATAATATGTTCCTATATGCACACCACTTTTTGTGGAAAGTGAGGTGTCATGTGGGTTGTATGATTTCATGCCCCGCACCTCTTAGCTACCCGTCAGAAGAAGCTCCAGCTTTCCTCCAAAATGAAGATTGGCTCTGTAGAACTGCTAGTGAAATAAGTTCTGCCTGTTTCTCATGTAGTCACCCAAATTCTTTGAAGCTACCTCACAGTCCAAGACAAAAAAAAAATGTGGAGCAGAAATCTTAGATGCCAACAACTTTTAGCTTTCAGATGCTGAACAGCCATCTTTGTTTTGGGTGGCTCTTTTTTCATAAGGTGCTACGAGTCTCCCCTCTCCAACCCTCCCGTCCACTCAACTTTTTATTGATTCCCACTAGCCTCACAGCACACACTCACACTCCACCCTGGACGGAGGTGAGAAAGGATGGACTCCCTGTGGACTCCAAAGCCTAACGGGACGCTGAGGACAGTAGCTTGCAAACAACAAACAACCAGGGTGGGCTGTCTCTATGTGTGTGAGAGCATGTACATTTTTTTTCTTTTGAATAAATTTTATTGTCTTTTGTTTGTTACAACGCTAATTAATGTAAATTGGAAAATAAAAGGAAAACCAAATTCTGAATAAAGGTGATTTTTTTTTTTTACTTGAGTTTTGAATAAAAGAGAAATGGTGAGTTGATGTTACTTCTAACAGCAGCTGTCATGGGTGCTTTTTTTTGTCCTTGGTGAACTTGTATCTCTTGACATCAGATGGGATGTGTGTGTGTATGTGTGTGTGCAAGTTTTTGTGTAAGCTGTACAGTGTGTGATATCTTAAAGAATCTCATAAAAAGAAATAAAAGTACTGTATTGATATTTGGGATTCTCCTCTTTGAGCCGATATGTAAATAACTTATTTTACAATCTAATGTTTTATAAAACAGCTCTGCAGCAAAAAACATTATTATGTAATTTAAAATAGAGTAAGGCATACAATTAATAATTAATGTTAGCCCCAAGACATAAGAGGAGCATTGAAGTTATCCAAATTATTCTATAATTAGTTATGCTGATTCCTAATGACTTAACCACCTAAAAAATCTACATGCCATCCAAATAAGTACCAAATGGAACACTTCATTTCTATTCAGGTTTTCCATTCATCCATCATCACCTGTTTGTCTGAGATCATGTTGACAACAGGTCCAGACATCCCATCCCTCTCCTCACAAACATCCTCCAGCTTCCTCTTGAGGACCTGATGGTTCCTCATCCCAATGGATCAGGACTGGAGATCCTCCTAATGAAGTCACAAAGAGGGCCTCCTAGTCAGATGTCCAAACCTCCTTAACCGGCTCCCCATAAGTGACGCTCATCACCTTCTCTCTAAGGCTAATTCCAGCCACCCTCTTTAGAAAGCTCCTATCAGCAGCCTGCATCCATGATGACGTTTTTGTTTTCGGGTCCATATCTCATGACCATAGGTGAGGGTTTGAATGTAGAAAAACTGGGATCGAGAGCTTTTCTTTTGGTTCAGCTCTTTCTTCAAAACAGACCTGAGTAATTTTTTTTAATGTAGCACCTTGCAAAGTTTTCCACAAGCCTTAAACGTAACTATTGTTAGTTTTGCATTCCACATAGCTAACCTCATGGGGAAGTGGCAAGAAACACAAAACATTGCACTTACATTTGGGCGCAACCTATATAGGACAGGGCAAACATAAAATAAGGTGGCCTGGTAAAGCCAAAATTGAGCTCTTTGGTTTACATGCAAAACTTAATGTTTTGCATGTAAATATTTCAAATAAGCATGAGCTTCACATTAAATCTGCTGATGATGGTATTTTGTGGAGAAGCTGTCCAAAGTTAGAATACAGTTTGGAGATAAATGCATGGCAGCAGTGGACAAAAGGCCACAAAGTCAGTTAAGACACACAAATGTCCATCTTCCATCAAGACACCAATCCTAAAAATACAGCCAGAGCTACAGTAGTGTTTAGATCAAACTTATTGATGTGTTAGATTGAATGACTCTGACCACTTTTAATGTCATTTACAGAGTATACAAAATTAAATTTCATTTTGTTCAGCTTTCAGACAGTAAATAAGCAGCTTAGCAGTGAAATGAACATTTTCATCCCATAAAGTGCAGCTGTGATCAAATGTATCAGATCAGAATCCAAGGACTGTTTTATAGCAGGACCAGAATGGGAGAAAGAGAATCTCTAGATCAGGCATCCCCAACTTCGGTCCTCAAGGCCCGCTGTCCTGCAGGTTTTAGAGCAGGGGTGTCAAAGTCATTCCAGAAAGGGCCGTGTGGCTGCTGGTTTTCTTTCCACCCAAGCAGTAGCACACCAAACTCCATTCATCCCATCAAGTCATCAGGTTAAGACTAGACTCACCTTGATGAGATGAATGGAGTCTGGTGTGCTACTGCTTGGGTGGAAAGAAAACCAGCAGCCACACGGCCCTTTCTGGAATGACTTTGACACCTGTGTTTTAGAGGTTTCCCTGCTTTAGCACAGCTGATTATAATGATTGCAGAAGACCAAAAGCCTGTTAATAAGCTTTCAATTAAAATCAGCTGTGCTGGACCAAGGAAACCTCTTAAACCTGCAGGACAGTAGATTTGGAGGACCAGCATTGGAGACCCCTCAAGCTGGCAAAGACATTATCCAAAATAATGATGCAGATGAAATGTTCAAGTATTTGATGCGAATGAATACTAGGCCTCCAGGCTTTGTTAAAAATGTGTTAATAAATTTACCAATATATAATTCTTTATATATATATATATATATACTTGATTTTAACAAAGTTAAAAACGTTGTTTATTCATCTTGCCCTCCAAGAAACATGAGGAGTTGAGAAAATTGAAACATCTCCAAAGTTATTAGAAAATGGCAACTAAAAAGTAATTTCATAAATGGCTTGCTGATTTGTTTCAACAGGTTGACTGTTACTCATTTAAAACGCAGTTTTGATAAAAGTTGTAGAAATTTCTTAATCTATATTAAAAACATTTTTCTAAAACATGCTACCTCAGAATACCTACAAACTGATGCCATGGATGTAAAAAAAAAAAAAAAAACGAATTAGCCCCTATTCAAATATGTTATATGAACTGTATTAAAGTTACTGCTAGACAAAAGTGTTGGTAAAAGGATAAAGCAAAATTATCTTTGCTGATCCAACAACCAATCCCTATTTGGAAATTTTATGCATATTTCTAGCAAAGCTCGTTTTGTGTTTATGTCATAAAATAAAATTGCTAACATCCTAGTGCAGGGGTCTTCAACGTTTTCAAAGCCAAGGACCCCCAAACTGATTACGAGATGGAGCGGGGACCCCCTAATTATATATATCGTATGAAATTGTGTTATATCAAACTGGTCCTACAGTCACTCTATTACATATGGAGTCATGTAACGAAAGTAATTTCTCCCTGGGATTAATAAAGTTTTTTCTGAATCTGATTCCTGGTTGATGGCACAGGTGTTGTGAATGAAACGGTGCCCAGCTTGAAAGAGCTCCTGTGTGTCGCTGAATGTGTGCATTGATGACTGAAAGACATCTTCTGCTTTCATTTATCTGTTTACTACAGTGTGTTGAATTCATGTTAATGTGTATTTAAAGACATTTTAATTAGTGCAAAAAATTGCAGGAGGGAATATTAAAAAAAGTAATCAACCAAGACTTTCGCGACCCCCATGCAGTACCTCCGCGGACCCCCTAGGGGTCGCGGACCCCCTGTTGAAGACCTCTGTCCTAGTGTATATATATATTTTAAAACTGCTTATATAGAAAACATGTTTCCATAAGCAGATTTATTCAGTGTGTAATGTTCTAAAAAAAACTGAAATACTTAAAAATGTCTAAGTGGTTCTGAAAGTTTTAAAAAGAATGAAGCCAAATATGTGGAAATAGATTTTTGCACAATTTTATTAACAATCCAAAGACAAAGATTAGCTTGTTGGCAGATGTGTCAGGAGAGCAGTTCTGTGAAGAGGGACTGGTTAGCAAAGTCAGCAGGCCTTTCCTGTGGCTGAAGCTTTGGTGGACTCCCGCTGAGGCCGACGTGGGAAACGCCAGAGCTCAGGAAGTAGAAAGGGATGTGAGTAATTTTTCCACTGGACCAACACTGAGAACAAAGACAGAAGCCACACTCTGTATCAGGTAGGAAAACTTATCCATTGTTCAGGGATTCTGCAGACTAACAAATACATTGCTGTAAAATGAACTGATAAATTAGTGAATAAATTAATTTACTAATGAAAGAAAAAATGATTTATGATGATTGGATTGTAGAAAAATGGGAGGATGACTGAACAGTTTTAATGGTTGAAACTTGAAATGTGTAAATCAAATATTTCTGTTTTCCTCAGTCTATACCCATCCAGACTTTAAAAAATAGAAATTTCATTGAGGGACTTTTTCGTCTCCGTCTCTAGTGCTTACCTTTAGCTAAAAACAAAATAAAATAAAAAAAGATAACACAATTAACTGACACTTCACCAAAACAAAAAAAAAGGAAGTGAATTATTAGTTAGCACTAACCACAGTGAGCAGAGCCCCATGCTGGAAATGTGGGTGAAACTGCATCAGTCTTGGTTCTGCTCCTGGTTCACCTTGAACAAATCCACTAAATGAGAACAAAGAGTACAATTAATGACGTTTTTTTTTTTTTTTTTAATAAGCAACATCAACACATGAAATAATTATAAACAGGTTTATAAACCAACCAAGGCAGCAGCTCAAAGATGGGGTTGGCTCTTGTTTTGAAGACCGCAATGATTGCTGGACGGTTTGCTGCTTGAGGATCACCTAAGCAGGAAGATGAGACTCAGTCATTAAATGTAAAAACTCAGGATGCGTGAGGACAAACAATGATATGTGGGACCTTTCAGAAGCACAGCGAGTCGCTCTCCTCTTGGATCCCAGGACAAAGACTGAATCTCTCCACCAACACTGGTAAACAGAAAGGTCAGAGGATCATCCATGCTTGGTGACTTTTTTGTCTATAAAATACAGTGCCATGTAGACGTCTACATATTGCTCGATTTCTTTACGTTCATAATTTGTCGCATGTTGTGAAATAGAAAGAAAAAGATATTCATTTTGCCCAAATTAAAATCTAAAATGTGAATTTAAATTTGTTGTGTCCAGTCTTTAACTTTCCCTTCAGTTTCCAGGGTAACCGCGTATCTCTATACATATTTTCCCTACATCTTTGATCAACCCCTCTGTTCCTACCTTACAAAAGCATCCCCACAGCATGCCGCTGCCACCCTAATGTTTTACTGTGGGGATGCCATCTTCATTTTTGCTTTACCACTAAACTCTAAGACTTGCCTGTAGGCCAGAAGAAGCTGTTTGTGTCTCATCTGATCATAATCCCACCCTCTACAACTTAACCCTGACATTTTCTCTTGTGATGCCGTTTGTTTACCAATAAGCAAACAGTAAGGCATTACTAAAACATGTTGCAATATAAAAAAGGTTGGCCTTAGTTAAGCTCTCTTACATGATGTCTCCATCCGGACTGTTGAAAGTCGTCTCTGATAGGTCAGCCACAACAACTGCAGTCTGTGGCCCTTTGGCCATGCTTGTAGGAACACCTGTCAAAAAAATGATGTCATGTTTTTTTGCCACATAGCCTTTATTTCAACAGATTAACAACATTTATACACAAGCTACCAAATGATGTATATATAGTAGGTTAACACTGTTAAACTTCCATCTATTGTGTAGATTATTTTGTGAAGACAGGGAGGGCTGACCTGGTGATCCAGAGAAGGTCAGAGCGTAGATGACCATTTCTCCTTGAACTGCGAACAGAAGCCGACTTCCATCTGGACTCCAACAACCGGACTAACAAGCAGAGTTCAACATATATTAAGATTACCTTGTGTCCTGAATCAACTGCTGTGCTTTAAGTAGAGGAATGCCTTTTTACCTGGCAGCGACCTTTGACACAAGGCCAACGCTCACAGGTCCACATCCTGGTCTCCCACACCCTGAAGAAAAAGCTTTATTATCTTATCCATAGTGGATCAAGGGTTTGGATTAAATGAGATAAGAAAACTGGTAATAAATGAGATCATCTTGGCAAAAACTCCATTTAAAGGTTTTTGCTGCTGCTACATAAAGTCATGATGCTGCCACCACCATGCTTCACAGTGGCTTTATTTCCTGTAAGCATGCTGTTCATGTTATGTCTCGGGTTATTTTTGTGTCAAACACACCATTTTAAGGTTGATTTTATCAGGCCATGAGATACTTCAGGTTTGGGAATTTTAGAAAGGCTTTGGTGTTTTCTTTAGAAGAAAAGGCTTATGGCATTTTTCAGCTAGACCTATGACAACCCAGGAGGCTTCTGTCACACACAAAACCGAAGCCAGCAAGTTCTGCGGCTCTTTTTAAGGTAGCTGTTAGCTTCTTAGCAAACCTGGACATTTTATCTCCTAATAGAAATATGTAAACTCTGTGCTCAGATTTGCATGGAAAAGTTTTTAAATGGGACCAGTTACTTTTTTAAAAGCAGCTAACTGCTGAACTGAAATTAAAAGCATTCATGAAATATGCAACTAGCACAAAATATACAAAAAAAACATTAAAGGTCAACGGAAGATGCAAAATTATAACTAAAGTTTAGATTTTAAACTTTACTTATATTAATATTATATATAATTAGGAAAGTCTGGGTATATTTAAAGCTTGCAAAGACTTAAAATTAAGGTTATCACTATTGTATGAATTCAAAAGATATTACAGAAAGCATTTTTTCAAGTTTAAGAAAACTAAATGCTGAAACAAAGAAAAATTAAAGTTTAAGGTTGTGGACATTTTTGCAACCAAGTATTTATACAGGCCCCCTTAAATATGTGTTTATCCAGTGGGGCTGGTTGAATTAATACCTGAATAATACCTCTTTCCACTGGCTAAAAAACCTGTTTAAAATCGGCTTTAGTGGTGGGGGAACGGCTCACTAGCCCATGTCGATCCGGTTCCTATGACTCGCTAAGCGCTTCGATCGGCATACAGTGGGAACATCGGGTCTAAACAGGTTTTTCAGCCAGTGGAAAAGAGGTATAAACTGAACTGCCTTCCAGCAGCTCACTCTCATTTGTTCATATGAGGGAGGATAATTTCTTTGACCACATAGACTGATCTCTACACAGATTTTAAATCAAAGCATGTCTAGGCTAATTTAAAATACTGGAAACTGACATTCTGCCCAACCTGAACAAGGCTGATGGAGTGGAGGCCAGGATGTGACTGCCAGCAGGGGACCAGGACAGGAAGGTGACCCCCCCTCCTCCAACCCGTTGAAGGGGAACACAGCTCTCTACAGCGACATCCCAAACCTGATATAATCATTCATATCAAAGGAACAGCTATAAAAACAGGAAACAACAGATTCTGAATAAGGTTTAAAGGAGAAGCTGCAGCCTTTAACCATCATGGCCGTGTCCAGGGGGGAGGCAGACACCAGGAGGGACCCACTGGGAGACCAGGCAATGGATGTGACTGGAGAATGACCAGGGTGGGACAAAACTTGAGCACAGCCGGAAGAAGGCCTACGGAGGAGATCAAAAGGGAGAGATGGTTATATAAAAACCTCAGCCTGAGAAAATATTTGAAAGTGCTGGCAGAGTTAAAGAAAGTTACAAAAAGATCCTCTCTCTATTATTCCAGTCCATAAAAAGGTTTAGATCAACATAGACAACAGAACAAAGATCCCAGACAGACTTCAAACCTTATACAACTGCTGCCACAAAATATTCAAGATTGTGCAAATAGTATATTAGTTTCCTGGTTTTTTTTTTATCCTCCACAATACCTCTCAGCCTGAAGGATGTCCTTTTTCATGACATACCTTGTTGAGAGTGAGCAGGGATCAACGTTCCAAACCAGCAAACAGTTCTGACACGCCACCGCCAGCCCCGACGCACACAGAGGCTTCCACTGTACGGCCGCAACGTTCCTTTGCAGACGGTGCTTCAGTGTGGGAGATATGGCACTGAGGAAGAGTTGTTCTTTGTTTAATGACATATCTAACAGAAACGTGTTCTAGAATCAATAAATAGAGGGATGAGCTCCAGATTTGACTCTATGACTGTTGCAGGTAAATATTACACACATAGGTCAGAGTCCTGGTGGAATTTATACATATTTCTTGGAAAACAATACTCTTTTGGAGTTATTGATTTAATTAAAAAGTTTACATTTGGATGTAGCTCTGATTATAGATTTAGAGCCACACTGGTATCTGTTGGTTGAAAGGAGTGAAAACCTGGAAGTTTTCCCTTCAAAACTTCTATCTGGAGGAAAAATAAAAAATAAAAGGCTTTTGCTGAACTGCAATCATCAGAATCAGCTGTGCTAAAGCAGAGAAACGGGGATGCCTGCCTTATAGGATGGTTCCCAAGTTACCTTTGAGGGTTGTAGATCTTGATGGAGTCGTCCAACAAGGCGACAGCAAATTTATCAGCGTGGGGATGCCAAGCGAAGGCTCGCACCACACAATCAGGCCTGGTAACACAGAAAGGGAATCAATCGTTTCAAAATAGCATTGAAACATACTCACTGTTTTTATAGGCAACATGTTATACCACAAAAATCCAGATAAAACATCGAATCTGTTCTTACCAGTTAAGCACCTGCGAAAACTCAGCAATCAGGTCCTCACTGCTTAGCTTTACATGAAAAATTAGCACAAAAAAGCTTCAGCTTTACTTAACATTCTTGTTATATTTAATATGACATAATTTATCAGAGATGGCTTACTGTGACATGAGGATACAAGGAGCCATGAAATGAGGAGACCCATCGGAGCAGAGCCAGAATACATCCAGACGTCACTGACAACCACTTTGGCACTATGAGGAGGGAGAGTTAGCAGCTCACATGCTGCACAGCAACGGGACTTAAAAGTCTCTATAAAACATGAGATCTTGGAGCCTTACGTACCCTCTGCATGTGAGGTGGTGATTTCATTGAGCAGCCCTGTGAAGCCACCATCCCGCCTGGAAAAAACAAAACAGAAGCTTAATTAACCATCTTTTAGAGCAGCAAGTTAAATTCAGAAACGCCTGAAAGGGTAGGAAATATTCTAAAAGCTGCCTGGCTGGGCTGATTTGCATGACTATGAGGTGCAGCTGTATTTTTTCAATTCACTGTGGAGATTTCCAGTTTAATGGAATCTGAAGTCCTCTTTACTTGCCAGCTTTTAGATTGATCATCTGGCATGGTGGTCTTATGTCTGTTAGAAGGTCAAAGATCCAGTTGGTCAATGTTTCAATTCAGGATTTTAAATTAAAACTGTCGACTAAAACATTAGATAATGCTAAAAACATATGAAGCTGGGGATTTTGTGCATTAGAAATTCCCCAAAAGGTTAAAAAAAGAAGAAAAAAAATATCCACTACTTTTTTTTTTTTTTTACTTCTTTGGAATGACTATGGCCTGGATGACTGAGAATCTTCACCAGTATATGTATTATAAATGTATTTTTATATATTTTGTATTATATTTTATAATATATATTTATGGATGATGCAAGGATAGTTACAGATAAACTGAATAAATATAAAGAAACCACTTCTTAATAATGATTCCATTCAATAAGAGAAAGATTTTTCCAAAGCAACCTTTCAGACCCCGTACAAGAGAGAAAGTTATCCACTTCCTTCCTAAATGATGAATTAAGTAAGATTAGGCTACCTCTATTCTAGAAACTAGGGCCATATTCACAAGCCAAACATATGCTTGGTTATTATCTGATCGACAAATGCAATAATACTTTATTTAGATTAGGGCTGCAACTTACAATAGTTTGCTAATAGATTCATTTGCCGGTTATATTTTTGATTATTTGAATAATAACCAGAAAGCAAAAGAAATTAAACAGAGTGAAACAAAAACTTTTCCACATGATGAGTTCTGGATAGAAAATATTGACTAACGATGATGATAAATAACATAGTTATGTATAATATATTACATTTCTGACTGTATATCCCTGTAATTATTACACACTGTAGCTTTAAAATACGGTACAAATAAAGTCTGAACAACAAAGTCTGACCCATTGTCTGCTAATATTTCCATGTTTAAGAAATAAATGTTTTGTTCTGGGAGTTCAGCTTTAAATAATCTCCTCCAGTTTCTATATTTAGCACAATGAATAATGACATGATCTACAGTGTCTTTAATGGCATCTAGCTTTTACTCTGCCCTTTGCACTCTACATAAACTACCGGAAACAGAATTTCATTGATGGAGTAATCCCAAAGGATAAATAAAGTTGAGTCTAGGTGTAAGTTTCTAATTCTCCACAATCTCCCCACCAATAATTTCTGCTGTTTTCCACCCTTTCCGCTGATTTCCTGCGTACAGAGTAGCTACATCGTTGGAGGAGAGACACACAGCAGCATTTCGTAAATTTTAACTGGCAGCTACTTCGATATATGTTTAAGTAAAATTTAGGGGACGGATTGGTTAAAAGAATTAGAGATGCACCGAAAAATCTGTTTGTTACACAAACGGAGCTTTTTCATCTAAAAATGACAACAGGGTGTACATTTATACAAGTTTAAAAAAGCTGGGCTTCTCAGAGGACCATAACTCAGAGTTACCTATTAAAATTAACACATATCTGTTGTTTTCTTATTAAACGGAGAATCAGACTGCAGAGCTTCTATATATCTTGAAAATTAGTTTCTCTGGTATCATTATATTAGTAGACAGGTGCATCAATCTGTATTTAAGCAGAGCAGAGACATAAATGGGGACAGCTGCTAATTTAAAGCTGAAACAGATTTACTGGGATATGCAACATTCAATAAAATATATCCCCATGTTTACAAGAAAACATACGCTATGCTATAATAAAATTCAACAGCAAGACTCAGAAATAGCTGTGCCAGCCAAGGCAGAGAGAGCCAGACACACAGGAAACAGACTGAAAATTAAAATATAAGAAACCTGCAAGAATTAAAACACAAACAAATAACAAATAATAAAAATCAGTGTATAAATAATTTTTGAAATATAAGGTTCAATACATAGACTTTGGGACATATTTCTAAATTTGATTTTGCTGCTTGTGAAGGAGGATAATCACTGATGCAGCTTAAAGGAAAGCCATGCATGGATGGATGGATGGAACTAAAGTTGTGTCTATTTCAGGGATGCATAATATATCGATGTTGGCATCGGTAACAGCTGCTATTCGTCATTTTTTATACATTAATGTTTATAAGCCCTTTATAAGTAATGCACTAAAGGCAGGCATCTGTCTATAGCTATACACATCCAGAGGTGTCAAGTAATGAAGTACATATACTTTGTTACTGTACTTAAGTACACTTTTTAGGTATCTATACTTTACTCCATTACTTATATTTCTTCCTACTTCTGACTTCTACTCATTACATTTTCACACAAGTATCTGTACTTTCTATTCCTTACACTTTTAAAAGAAACGTTAGTCTTTACTCTTGGCTTTGGTTTAATGTTTATAAATATTTAGTTCACGTCATGTGCGCCATCCGATGCAGATCATTGGCGCAATCGTCTAGTGAAAACTAGTGTAATTGGATGAGTCATATAACGCAAACACTCATTGGTTAGCTGAAGGAAATCATCAGAAGCAAGCAGGTGTTCTTCAAACTGCAAACATGAATTGTCTATGCCTCAATGTCAGATTCAGAAAAAGATGTTGAAATGTCTAAAAGTTCGGACACAGGCGAGAGCGTATCGGGAGATGGAGACGGAGACTAACAAGACCTCCTTCATCCTTGGCCCTATCTCAAAGAATTAATCATATAGTGGCATCTGGCTGTTTTTCTTTTAAGGTTACTTTATACTTTTATACTTCAAGCAGTTTTTGGAGAACATTCACTTTTTCACTTTTACTTGAGTAAAGAGGTCAAGTTGATAATTAAACTTTTACCGGAAAGTTTTTAAACTGCAGTATCTATACTTCTACCTAAGTAACAAATGTGTGTACTTTAGACACCACTGTATATATCAGTGTACTGGGGTTCTCTGTGTTCTCAACAATAGGAAAGAATTCAATAAATATATGTTTGAGCTCATTTTTGGAAAGTATAAACCCTATTGAAAGCGTTGTGGTTGGGGTACACATATCCTTTATTCTTCCCAGGGTAAAAAGCTGCCTACCAGGCCGCAGCGCTCCTCATCCATAGAGTTTCCGAGTGGTCCAGGAAGGCAGCTTTGCTGCTGCTCTCTGTGCGGCTGTGCAGCTTCAGGGACTCTCTGGGGAAATACAGACTCAAAAGACTTGAGTCCTGCACGGAAAACACACAACATGAGTCATTTAGACGGGGAAAGGTTAAAAACCGATCAAAACCAGCTAAATGTCTCAGACCTGTCTGTCATCGGAGCTGTTGGCTCCAGAAAGCAGCTCGTTGTTAGATTCGCATAAGGTGGACTGTCCAGCGGGCAGCGGAGGAGGAAACAGAGCCAGCGAGCACATCTCCACTGCGGTTAAAACCTCCTTCCAGACCGCCAAGATAAACTGTCAACCATTAGGGGAGGCAAACACACATTGTTTAAGCTTACGCGTCTAGTAACAGTATAATAAACATGCTAACGCCAGCTAGCTAAATAAATCCGCAAAATGACAATTTCAAATATAATCTAAAACATAACCATTCAGCACATAGTTAGCTATGTGCTCTAAAACTACCCTTGCTGTCAGTGTCACTTACCGTTTAATTGTTATTAATGTTGTGGATTTTATAAACAGACTTACAGCACACGCTAAATAGTTATACTTTTAGTTAATCCCGCCGTGCTTAGCTACGGCAAGCCTAAAGGGAAAAAAGCGCTTCGGTTTTCCAAAGCGCTGTGAGGATAGAAAACCGGGTATACTGCCCTCCTCGGGATGTGGTGGGGTACTGCAGGAAAACTTCAGTAGGGGGAAAAGTTGTTTAGAGGGTTTGTAGCGACTCCGTAGCAAACCTCGTCACCGTCTGGATCAGAAATGCACCCGAAAGCAATAAAAAATAAAAAGCTACACAAACCAGGATAAAAATCAAAGATAATTAGGAAAATATGTTTGGTTATATTATTTGCCAGAAAGATCCACAGCTGATGTTATCTTGATTTCAAGGTGGCGTTTGGAATATTAACTGCTGGCTAAATTACTAAATTATTTAAAATTACAAAGCTACAATATTATTAATCTTTTTTTTTTTTTTTTTGACATCCTGGAACCTTAATTTTACAAACATTTCTGCATATTTCCCCAAATTCTTCTTTATTGCATTAGTCTGTTGGCACTAAATGATGTTTCCAGCATTTATTAACTTTACCTTTTACATGTAAAGCTGTGATGAAATGTAACTTTTTGTCTACCATGTTATTGTTTGTTTAAGTTTTTGCTCCTTTGGTAAGTGGATATCTTTATTGTTTCCTAGTGGAAAGGAAAATGTACTCTGGTCTTATCCTATTTGTATTTTGTGGCTGTAATGGTGAAGGCATACTTAAACATACTTTTGAGCTAAAAATAAAAACAATAATCTCAGAATTTGAAACCTTTGCTTCATCTTCTGAAACCACATGTGTATGTATTTTTATGTTATCTTACACTGCACTATGGTCACCTTATGCATTAAAATAATAACAATAAAGATGTTGTTGATGTTTTCTGTTTAACATCCAGCTGTGTTACCTTTACTTTACAAACAATTTTGCTTTATATTCTTTCTTATACTTTATGGAATGTTTGTTGGAAAAGTATTATTATATTAGTATATAGTATATATAAATATGGTATTATTATTCCTTCCTTTTTTCAGCTTTTTTTCCCTTCAATTTTTTTATGATAAGCTTTTTGGGGCTGACTCTGTTCACTTTCTTTTCATAGTTTGTCATGATTTCTACTTTTGATATAATGTAGTATTTTTCCTCCTCATCGATGGAGGCAAAAATGACTGTGGGTGCAACACCGTGTATTGCTGAAGGGAACGTCAGCAGATAGAGAGGATGAGGCATTAATGCGCACTATGTTGATCTAAAACAATAAACAGAAGCTTAAACATAAAATAAATTAAAAAAAATCATTGAATATGCTACCTTTCTGATACATTCCTCAAAAAGTAGCGCCCCCTTGTGGCGCAGCTCTCACTTCCGTGACGTCAATTCAGCACTGGGAAGGAGACAGCTCCCTCTCCTCCTCCTCCTCCCCCCCTCCCCCCAAAAAACCCAGCGCGCCTCACGTTGCATGGGTCCCCGGTTATTGATAACATCGTTTACCGCTGGGATCCGTCCTAGTAACGTGAGAATAAAAGAAAATAAAAATAAAAACTCGTGGGAATAACTCGCTGGGAACCCGAAAGGCTGCGTGGAACGGAGGAAAACAACAAGCAGCTCAGTGAGGCGGACAAATACAAAGCCGAGCCCACCCTCTCACTTGACAACGCGACATCCACCGAGGCAGAAAGGTATGGGAATGTCATGCGTTCTGGTTAAATGCTGATTTCATGAGTTATCGGTTCATGCGGGTTTAAATGGTGCTGTGGCTTCACGCCGCTCACACTGCACCACGGTGCCTCAGAGAAACCAATGATGCTCGATGAGAGCTTCAAAGATTATACTTGTGCACTCATGGAAAAAAAAAAGGCACATTGTGAGATACACTAATAGTGTTATAGTGCCAACGCTGGGTCCGCGTACAGCCTACAGCCGCTGCGGCAGTTTCACTTGGCATGGATCATAGTAGGCTTGCAATTCATGCGCGTCGGCTATGATGCTGCTGAGTGTCATCATCACATCCTCGGTTATTTAAAGATTGATCTTCCTGCGTGAGTGCGTGCGTGTGCGTGTGTATCCCAGCCTCGCACAGGCCCGTTGGATGTTTTTTACCCGTTAGATTGGTTTTCGCGCCCTCGTTTCCCTCTCACGAAGCGGCTCTACCTGTGCAGTGGTGCAGTACAGGGCTGTTGGACGGTATGTGCTTTCTGCTACATGTGCTCTCGTTTCTTCTCACACATGCCCCTCTTGCACTGCTGTACGTGCATGCATACGCAATGTGGCGGTTATGCAATTCTTCAGCACACACAATGGGTCTTCACTGGGGTGCATTGCTCTTGGTGGTGTCTCACGCACTGATGCTGCTCAAAGGGGCAGGTGACTAGCAGGTGTGTTGAAGAGAGAAAGAAACTAACCGTCCACGGGTGGCTTCATTCATAAAGCCCATTTCCTCTGGTGATGACTCCTCTGGGTCGTTCTGGGTTCCCATTCACAGAGACAGACATGTGGATATACTACACTTCCTTGAAAAAGTGCTTATACCAATAAAAAAAAATAAAGCCACACATTTGAATATATTTGATTGGGATTTGTTGTAATAAACCAGCACAAATAGAAAGAACATAATATTCTGTAGGTGTTTTGGGGATATGTTTCTAGGTTGACTGCTTTATTTATTTTTTTCTTTAATGCAAATGTGCAGTGAGATTAAAGGTGATCATCCAGGAAACTTAAATTTCAAGTGTCGCATCAGATTCCCAGTTAGAGTTAGGCTGGACCTTTTTAACAGATGCACATTTTGATATCATCCATTTGCTTTGTCTCTTAAACACCATGTCTAGGCAAACATTATATCATTGTAGCCCCAGCTGCTCTTGGATTCACTGACATAAGCAAGGCTGCAGTACTTAGGTGCCTTAAGACCATTTGCAGGCAATGGGGGAGAAGTGTCTTGCTCAAAGACACAACGGCAGAGATTGACGGAGCTGGGGTTTAAACAGCGACCTAACATACTTTTCAGTACATCATTTTTGATGCATTTTGTCACCTATAGAGCATTATGTTGTTTGCAGCTTTTGTTACTGTTTGGCTACATTTAAAATAGTTTCCTTGATTAAAACAGTTGTATTCTTTCTTGCTGTTTACCATGAAAACAACTGTCAATAATGTTCAGAGGGGTTTCTGCTTTATAGTCCTTCTCTGGTAGTGGTTCCACTGGGCCATTTATTTTTTCAGATGAGACCGAATTTGGTTGTGTAGGTACTCAGATCAAGAATTCAGCACTTTCAAGAAGAAAACACAAAATGCAATAATGGCACTCATTTCAGCACTGGACAGCTCCAAAATGTAAATATTAAACATACTGGCCAGTAGCTCACTTTAGACATAGTTTGTCATTTAACTGACATTATTAGTTAGTGATGGTTTTCTTTGAAATTTGAGTTTATTTTATTTTTTCATTTTTTGTGTTGTTAACCATAAAATCCATCCTTTATGAACACTATGGATTTCAATAACATGTCCATGCAGTAAAGTATGTGGGAGTGATTTATAAAGAGGATCAGGCCTAACTAGTATTGATATCTTTGTCAGCAGATCATGAGCAATCGTTTCACAACAAGTTGCTATAAGAAGTCTATTATATGGCTACATTCAATTAATATTTTTTATTAAGAAAAGAAGTTGTTAAGTTTAAATGGTGGAAAAGATTCTGTGAAATAACATACTAAAGGAGAAATTTGAAAAATGTCCAATGCATTCAGTTTATGAGTGGTTAAACAGAAACAGAATTGTACCACTAATTTTGAAGATGATTCTTTTAATCTTGACTCCATAAAATCTGTTCTAAAGAGTTTGTCTAGCAGAATGCTTACCATAGCAGCTGAAAAACTCAGTTTCTGTTCTAGTTTCGGTTTCAGCAGCCAAAATATACACTAAACCATATTTTTTCAGTGCAAAATATATTCCATTGTGGAATCCTTCACTGAATAACCATACTTCATTTTCCAGCAGGGTAGTGTTGTTGTTTTTTTCTGGCAGTTTGTTTACTCATTTTCTTTTTGTCAGTTGAAAGTATGTAACTGGACAAGTTTCTTTACTTTTTTGGTAGATTAATGTTTCTGGAGGAAAAAAACAAGATAAACTAAACAGTATATTTTTGGCTGATGGTAAATTTAAGCTTGGAACTCATTCTGATATGTTTCTTTTCTTTCCCTCCAGGATTTTTTTCACACCTGTTGTTCATCCATCCTCCCTAACCTGCTGTGTTGGGGAAACCCCTGATGAGTGGGACCTGTATCCATGAGCCCCGCGCCCCTTCCCCTTCCCTGTCAGGCTTCAGCACCCCAATCTCAGAACCCCCTTATCGGAGACTCGATGGAGACACCCCTGCCTGCACCCCTGAAACGGACCTGACCCCCACACAGTGTGTGCTTCGTAACGTACTGTCCATTGAACCTACTGTACACGGAGCCCCGAGCGGCAGCAGCCCAAGTCCCAGTGATGGGTGCACAGCTCACTTTGACAACAGCGTGCTAAAACTTCATGAACATGAGGCCTGCCAGTGTGGTGGCAGTGGCGGGGCGGAAGCGGGCCACAGTCCAGAAGCCGGAGCTGTTAGGAGCCAGTCAGAGAACATTAGGCTCCAGTCAGGCAGTGGAGGATTTTTGGAGGGACTTTTTGGCTGCCTGAAACCAGTCTGGACCATGATTGGAAAAGCTTACTCCACTGAACACAAACATAATCATGAAGGTATGATTCACCTGTGCTCTGTCAGCATCTGTGCTGGGCATCAGAAATTTATAGTACATTATATTTATAAATATAATCAAGTCTTAAAATCTAAAAAGCAATCTGAAGGATTGATTCTTTCCTTCCAATTGCACCATCTCAAACTCATTTAAAAAAATGTCATAATTCTTGGAATTATGACATTAGAAAATGTCAGTAGATAAAAAAGGTCATAATTCTTGGGATTATGACATTAGATAATGTCAGTAGATAAATAAGGTCATAATTCTTGGAATTATGACATTAGATAATGTCATTAGATAAATAAGGTCATAATTCCAAGAATTATGACATTATTTTTCAGGATTAAGGCTTATTTATGACAAAAAGATAAACCCTCAACCGAAATGTGAAGAGAAAACCAATAGGAAATTATAACTGAGGTAAACAAATATGAAATAAAAAGTTTCATAAACTAAGGCCTATTTATCAAAGCAGGTAAAATATATATAAATATCAGAAGAATAAATGCTATTTTTACAAATTACTGTAAAGGGGAAATTTATTGTTTAATTTCAATTTTCCAACTCTAAATAAATCTGAACTAAACAGAGTTAACTGGCCCTTAGGTCAAACAAACTGAGCTTAGTGGCCTAATTTCAAGTTAGAAGCTTTATTACTGTGAGAATGAAAGGAAAATCGAGGAGTTAAAAACCAGGCGTAGGGCTTTTTACTTTGGATCAGACAAGTTTTTTATTATCAAGGAACCAACTGGTCTTTCATCTTAGTTTTTTCTGTTTGAACAGTGTAGACGTCTGCCCTGGCGTCACACCTGAACCAACAGCTGTCAGTAATAGTGCAGGCCTTTAAGATTCCTTGAGGTTCTCCAGTTAGGATTCAGAGTTGGAAGATACACAAAATAAAAAAAAGACTGTCTAAAAAAGTGATGGTGAGCAATTGGACTCTTGCACATTTTTACAACAAACTAGAGAAATTTTGCCTTAATTCCACTTAAAGCTTATTGGTGATCACGCCTCTGTTCTTAATCAGACAGGCAGAGTTTCTTGAGTTATGAGTTTTAAATCTCTCTGAACTCAGTGGAGTTACGTTTAGGACATATTAACATAATTGACACATCATATTGCCAAGCAAAACTGTAGCTAAAGCATTTTCTAAGGTAGTTTCCGCTTATTAGAGAGAGACCAAACATGTTAGTGAACCACCATGACTTAAGACAAAATGCTACGATTACTAGGGCTTTTTTTTACATTTCTTCCTCAATATGGAAGTCCCTATTTAATATTCATTAGTTTGGAAATTGGTTCGGTACCAGCCAAATAACAACTATAGGGATATATCAACCTACATCTAAAACTTATCAACAAACTTATAAAAGTACTCTGCTTCCATCTGCTTAAATTTTATGTTGTTTATGATTTATTATGTTAATAATAAATCGGTCAGTTGTTCTGTTGTTGTTGACTATTGTTCTCTGTTTGACTAAAAATCGCTTGATCAAGACCTCTTTAACATTCCACACTAAAAATGGGTAAAAAAGAATGTATGATTAATGCTTATATTGTATCGCAATAATCTTGTTATCGGTCCGTACTGAAAGCTGTGATATCGGTTTTATAAAGAAAATATCAAATCAGGACATCCCTTTTATAACTAGAAATGTCTACATTCAAGGTTAAACATATTAAAAGATCTTTAAATTTTGATTTATAATAGAGTATTTCAAATATGTCTGAAGTTCTATATTGGCAAAATTACAACTTCCACATAAGAAAACACTTTAATTCTAATTTTTAAGGAATTTAGCAAAAGGTTCCCTTTTTGCCTACTTCTTTTCAAATGTTTAAACTAAAATATTATGAAAAAGTAAATCTAATATTTACGAAATCTAAAAATGAACCTGTTGTTATCAGATCTTCAATGATTTACAGCTGAGAAATCAAAGTCATTGAAATTTACCAGTCAGAAAAGCTTTATACAGTCATTTATATTACTTCGGTAGTTCAGTGAACCACAATGATATTTATTATTCATAAATAAAGGGATCAAGGACCAATGGTGTATCTTCTCTGGTTTGAACCCTTTTCAAAAATCACTTAGAAAGATAAATCCTGGAGATCACAAAGAAACCAAAATCACACATTTTAAACAATGCAGGGCTTGTTTCAAGAGAGGCTGGTTTCAATATGTAGAAAGATAGTGAGCAATATTTGAATCCATAGCAGAAATCCCCTAAAACTCTGCAAACAGTTACCATCAAACCTGTTATTTATCTCTAAAACGTATGGTCAAATATTATGTTGACTGTTCAAAGAAAGTGAACATTGTGATGCCTGCCTGAGGACCTGGATGACATGCTTTAAATCGTGAAACCTTGAATTTTACTACTAAGCAGGAAGAATGAAGTCTGAACTTAAAAAAAAAAAACAAACAAAGTGTGAACTAGTTTATCTTTCACTTATTGAAAGCAGTTAAATGAAGCCACTTACAGTGGTGACTACTTTTTTTTCTATATTGAAGGATTTGATGTGGGGTTTATTTTTTCTTGTATTTTATCAGCCACGGCTGAGTGAAATATTGTAAAGCTAAAATGTGGAATATGTAGCCCTGAAATGTATAGATAAAGTAAAAATGCAGAGTAGAAAAGATAGCTACTGAAATTAGAAAATTAGAACACTACTTGATTATCTTCATCGTATTAGAAAACTAACATCGCTCAGTGCTTACTAGTTTTACTTCATCCATCTGGAGGGGTATCTGTGTTTTTGGTGCGCGTCAGCCAGCTCAGTGAACGTCACAGCTGGTCAGGTGGAGAGGGGGAACTGGGGGCACCATGTGCATCATCACCCTCTGCAGCTGCTGCTCCCAAGAGATCTCAGCCATTCAGTGGACCTCATGAAGAATTGATTGCATGTCTCCTTTGCTCTCCCAGGCTTGTCTGTCTTTACCGACTGAGCCTTCACAGTCATTTAAGCAATGTCAGTTTGACAGATGACAGACAGATTAAACTATGAGTGAATTGTTGGGTTTCTTTCCCCCATTTTTTACTGAGGACATAAACGCAATGGCTTGCTTGATAAACTGCTGATGATCCATTTTTTTTTTTTATCCTTAAATCTGCTTGTTGTGATACAGTTTGTCCTGAGGTATTTAGATGTGTAATTTTCTTACTTATCCACCCTACTTAGTTCACTTTCTCCATGCTGACAAGTGCTTATGCTCTCTGCAATGGCTTGCACAGGTGTCCAGACCTCTTTAATCCTATCACATCGTGTCATGTTTCAACCACAAATCTCAGTGTATTGTACTGGACATTTATCTGATATCCCATATCCGAAAATTGTAAAGTGTAAATTGTAAAGTATAAAGAAGATTACTAATGCTTTTTAAAATTTAAAGTGAATGAAAAAAATCCTCAAAATCTATGGTATAATTTAAACTAGCCTGATTTTAATGCAAGGGTATCAAAGCAAGCAGGCCTGAACAAACATTCACAGCATACTCTTAAGATTTCATTAGCAAAAGATAAAAATAATAAAAAAAAAAAAACATTACACATTCTCCATCCACATTAAAAGTTTGTGCTATCTTGTATTGAGGTTTAAAATAGAATACCAGAAAATATATTTTTCTAGATTCGGTTTTGTATCATGATAAAATTGGAAATGTTTCATGTTGTATGACAATGTTTTGAAGGCACTATTAGGAGGTATATCAAGAACACTACTAAAAATATAGCATTGTATAATTGTGCTCTTTTGTTTGTTGGTATTTAGAGTCCTGGGAGGTTCCCTTTGAGGAAATTTCTGACCTGCAGTGGGTGGGCAGCGGGGCACAGGGGGCTGTCTTCCTTGGAAAGCTGCATGGAGAAGAGGTAGCTGTAAAGAAAGTACGGGACATCAAGGAAACTGAGATCAAACACCTGCGCAAACTGAAGCACCCAAATATCATCACTTTCAAGTAAGGAAACTGCTCCTGTGACAGCCTTTAAGTCATCTACCCTGATTGTTCCTCTTTTTTGTGTCCATCTGTATTTTTGTCTGAATGGCATCCTTCCTTCCAGAGGTGTGTGCACCCAGGCTCCGTGCTACTGTATCCTGATGGAATACTGTGCCCAAGGCCAACTGTATGAGGTGCTGAGGGCGGGCCGTAAAATCACCCCTTGCCTCCTGGTTGAATGGTCCATGGGCATCGCAGGGGGCATGAACTATTTACATCTCCACAAAATCATCCACCGAGACCTCAAATCCCCAAAGTAAGACCGGGCTCTGTCCGCTTGGAAAAGAGGGCTTACAGAGATACGTTTTGCTAATTATTTCCGCTTTTTATTTCTAGCATGCTGATCACACATGATGACATGGTGAAGATTTCTGACTTTGGGACCTCTAAGGAGCTCAGTGACAAGAGCACTAAGATGTCGTTTGCCGGCACGGTGGCCTGGATGGCTCCTGAAGTCATTCGGAATGAACCAGTGTCAGAAAAAGTGGATATCTGGTACTTTTTCTTTCTATTAATACTAAAATAGCAAATTATTATCACTATTATTATTATTATTATTATTATTATTATTATTATTATTATTATTATTATTATTATTATTATTATTATTATTATACTCATGGATATATTTCACTCAAATTTTAAGATTTATGTAAAGACATCATATAACGAATTCCCTTTTTTTTTTTTTTTTAGATAATTTTAACTCAAATCTATTAAATAAACCTTACATGATCCATATGCAATTGTATAATATCGTTTATGTTTTAGATACATACATTTTTAGTTTTTTTTTTAGATTTAATTAAGTATTCTTTTTTTAAATAAATACAAATTTGTATATTTAGTGCAAATACCTGAAGTTTATTGTTTGAATTGCACAAAAGTAACCTGATTATTATTCATTTAAGACTATTAAACTCTCTACACTTAAAATAAATACAATAATTATTATTCATTTCGAGTAAGTAAACCTTTTTCATTTTCATTTCATTTCATATATAAATATGACAATTATTTATTCTAAATAAAAAAAGTATGCATTGGGTAAGGTTTATTTAATAGGTTTGTATTAAAATTATGTAATAAAGTTACTTAAATCTTGTAAGTGTATTTACTTCTGCAGTTTATCTTGGTTCAACTTAAAGGTCCTTTGGTGTGGTACTGTGGGAGATGCTTACTGGGGAGATTCCATACAAAGATGTAGATTCTTCTGCCATCATCTGGGGCGTGGGAAATAACAGCCTGCAGCTGCCCATCCCTGAGAGCTGCCCGGATGGCTTCAAGATCCTCCTCAGACAGTGCTGGTGAGTAGAGCCTGCAGACGAAAAGCAGTGCAGAGGATTTTAATGATGAGAGTTGTGGAGACAGTTTCTGTGAGATGCTGCACAGGGAGGTGTTAGTGTGTAGTTTTGAAGACTTTATTGATTTTACTTTGTATGGAGAGTGTACACAGCTGTGTTTCCTGTTTTGGATTTTCAGGAACTGTAAGCCCAGAAATAGGCCTTCTTTCCGACAGATCCTCCTTCATCTGGATATAGCCTCAGCTGATGTACTCTCCACCCCACAGGAGACATACTTTAAGTCTCAGGTATGGCTGCTTTAATGCTAATTGTGTTTATAATTGCTTTTAATTATGCATGAAAGTTGTTGTTGTTGTTCCGGCTTAAAGTTTATATACACCGAATAATGAACCATCAATGCTATATTAATCTTTGATATTTTAAGGATTTTGTTTTATAGTTTCTTTAGGGACACAGCTTCCATTTGTGATTTTATTCAATAAACAAATAACCAAAAGTATATGTTTTAAAACTATACAAATATGTAATGGCTGTTAATTTTTGCACAGCATTTAAGTACATTAGCTGACTGAGTCAGATGGGATGGAAAAAACTACATGTTCAATATGTTGTTACATTTTACCATTCTGTACTGATAAAAATGATGTTTCTTCTTAGGAGCTATAATGGGACATTTTCTGTTTCGTATATATGTAGTTAAAGACATTTGCAAATATATTAGCTTATGCCCACTAGGGGAGCTAGACGACCCGCTTGTGGCCACAAATTACACTGTGTGCCTTTAACTCACACACTGTATTTCCCTCTCTATAATGTAACTAGAAAAAGAAAAAAAAATTCTTTCCTGTTTCCTTAAATCATAGTTCAATTTCCATTAAGATTAACAACTAATTTAAAAATTGGAGATAAGCACCAAAAAGTTAATCAGTCAATCCCTCTTAACATCCATCCATCCATCCATCCATCCATCCATCCATCCATCCATCCATCCATCCATCCATCCATCCATCCATCCATCCATCCCAACCTTTCTACTGTATTTTCTATTCTTGACAAAATTATTTACAAAGGCAAGACATATTGTTTTGCACAATATTTTGATTACTGTCAATTAATTAAAAATACACTGTATGTTCATGTACAAAAGTAGGCAAAGGCACACACTTAAGCTCACAAAGTAATCAGTTAAATGAAATGCCACACATCAGAGGGAGTGGGAGCTCAGAGTTGGTGAACAGAAATGTGCTCTCATCAGGCTGAATGGAGAGAGGAGGTGAAACAGCACTTTGAGAAGATTAAATCCGAGGGAACTTGTCTCCATCGGCTCGACGAGGAACTGATTAACCGCCGCAGGGAGGAGCTGAGGTTAGTTTGTTACAAGTTTATTTATAGTTGTCAAATTAATACAGCAGGCTCTGCCAAAATGCTGGTAAACTTACAGTCATCATCATCCTCTAGCATGTGTCTGTGAGGGTCATGGGAGGCTGGTGTACATCTCAGCCTGTGCACCCAGACTGCCTCACACCTTCTACAATAGGATACCAGACAGGAAGGGAGGAGGTTAAGCCCTATCTGATGAGACCAACAAATTCAGTGAAAACAGTTTAAAACTAATCAGATAACAAAGTAATTGATGCAAAAGCATATTTTTTAAAAGAAAAGCTCTGACAGCAGCCCACTGTTAAGATTTTAATGATATAACTCTTTTGGACATAATAAAGGGCATCATTAAAACATTTTTCATTTGCAGCTTCAATCTTGACTGTTATGAATACAGAAAAATTGGTCCAGTCTCTTTAAAACAGACTATTGAGCCTAACCAGACTGATTTAGATGGGGCAAAAGTCAGTCTCGTATGGAGGATCTGCAAGGTAACAGTGCTGCAAACTGCACCACCATACAGTTCCTTAGGCATACAGTTGGGTATGCGTTTTAGAGCAGGTTTAGGATATCAAACAGTGCCCTAAGCTTAGAATATGTGATATCTAGCAGAGCCCTCTTTGATTCAACCATCACCTACTAGAAACTACTATGAAATGGCTGTCTTACCAAACATTGGAGAGGAAAGTTTTATTCAGAAATCAGTTGTTTAAGAGGACAACTGTTAAAAGAGATTGAAGATGTAGGTTTTATATAAGAAGAAATCAGTTGTTAAAAAAGCCACAAAAGAATAGATTTGATCAAGGGACGCAGCAATATGTGCAAGAAGGTGCTCCAGTCACATAGGAAAAAGGGATAGACAAATGATGCTACGTCAACTACTGCACCTTATCCCACGGTGATATGTGGTGGTAGTAGTATCTTGGTGTAGGGATCTTTTTAATCAGCAGGAACACTAAGGCTGGTTAAAGTGGACAGGAAGGAGGATGACGCTAAATGAAGTACAGTTATGGAAGACAATCTGCAAGAAACTGAAAAAGCCTTAAGACTGGGAGCGAGGTTTACTTCCCTTGAAGACAAAATGAATTTGATTGAATAATATTCCTGTGTTAGTAAGGCTCGATCAAAGACATGGCCATCCAGCAAAACTTGAAAATTGATCCTCACATAGACCTTTCTTTCAGTCTGACAGAGCTTCCACTATTTTACAAAAAGAGGAATGGGCAAAATGATTCAAACATGCATACCTGCTACCTACCTACACCAGAAGACTTTTACCTCTGACTGCAGCAAGATTGTTCTCGAACCACATATAGAATGGTGCACAGCGCACTGTCTTGCCTTTCAGCAAGAAGGTTCTGGGTTAAATTCCCAGCCAGGATTCTTTCTGCATAGAGTTTTCATGTTCTCCCTATGCAAGCATGTGTTCTCTCCAGGTACTCAGGCCTTCTCCCACAGTGCAAAAACATGACTGTTAGGTTAAATGTGTCTCTGTGTCGTTGGCATCCTGGGTGTACCCTGCCTCTCGCCTATAGACTGCCAGCGGCCCCCTGGCGGAATAAGCGGGAGAAGATGGATGAATGTTGACACAGAGGGCCTGAATGCCAATCAAAATCCCACTTTTCAGATTAGAAGATTAGAAAAACATTAAAATGCAGAATTTTCTGCTTACAACTTGACAAAATTAAAACAAATTCAAGCGGTAATAATACTTTTAAAATCACTGTAAAATATGAATGCGTGAAGCCTCTACCTTCCATTTCAATTTTTGTTACCCTTCCTTTTTTTGCCCCAGCAGATTAAATAAGTGCCTTGATTGCATGTCTCTTAAAGAGGGTCTGGATTCTTTCATAGGGATTTACAATGACATTAACAACTTCTTTCTTTTTTCAGGCATGCCTTGGACATCCGTGAACACTATGAGAGGAAACTGGAGAGGGCCAATAACCTTTACATGGAGCTCAGTGCTGTGATGCTGCAGCTGGAGCTGAAAGAGAAAGAGTTGCAGAGGTATAAATAAGGTCTTTAAAGGATGTTCAAAAGTGGAGCATATTACAAGATTATGGGTTTCAGCGTTTTGGAGTTATATTGTTTCTTTTTCTTTCTTTTAGGAGAGAGCAGTCTTTGGATAAAAAGTATCCCGGTTTGTTCAAGCACCACAGTTCCAGACAAAGCAGCTCTTCCAACTCTATGGACAAGCTAATCAAAAAAAGAAATGTCCCACAAAAACTGCCCTCCAGCAAGAGGTATAAGGTTTAACTCCTGTCCGTATTAAATGACAGATTAATTCTGAAATAAATAAATGTTCATTTGGCAAATGGAGAACAGGTGGTGACTATTAAATTCCCCTTTTCTAGGCCAGACATCCTGAAGTCAGAGGTAATTCTTCCTAAAATGGATTCTTCTGTGATGCAAGTCACTATCCCAGCCTGCCCAAACAGGAGCTCCACTTCTCCCAGCCGGTCTCGGAGAGTAAAAACCCGCCATCGCAAGCCTGGTAAAGGCAGCAGTGGAGACCTAGCTGGTCTTAAGGCAAACCAGTCCTCCTCTAACAGGGAAACAGCAGCGCAGGCAAAAAATGCCACCAACAACTCTAAGCAGCTCCTGGAACCAGCAGCAGCCCTGCGGGGTCTCAGCCACGAGCAGCAGCAGAGGCAGCTGTCCTCCTCCAGCCCTGACCTCATCTGCACCACACTGGAGGCGGAGAGCCAGGGGAAAAGGGAATCCTCAGTGAGTGGGCTGGAAAGAGGGGGCAGCCTCAGCGCCTCTGCTGGGTTAGGGGGGTCCGAGGGAGGGGCAACAGGTCTGGATGATCTCACAGAAACCCCCCCACGAAGTGACACTCCCAGCGAGGATGCTGCATCATTCCCATTCTCCAGTAGCCCAGACTCACCATGTGGGAGAGGAGCGGCAGCTGGAAGAGGATCCCTGGGATCTCCTCGGCTTCCTCATGACGGGGAGGATAAGGATGAGGGAGCCAGCTCTGTAAGGATACCTCGGGGGGCTTCAGGGGGGATTGGGACCCAGCACCTCACACCTTCAGCCATTCTGTACAGGGCAGCTATCACACGCAAGCAGGTACAGGACTGAGTAACCGTTCATGTCCCTCAACAGCCGCCTGAGCTTTTTCTCATTTATGCACTTTCCATTTTTCATTTTTTTTTCCTACAGAGGCGTGGGGTGTCATCAGAAGAGGAGGAGGGTGAAGTTGACAGTGAGGTTGAGTTGCCACGGAGACGGTGAGTAACTTGCTGTCGTATGTTACTGGAAAAAGTGACGTTTCTTGATCAAATCTACTGGGAGGCCAGGGTGGAGCAAGGGTTACTTTCATGGTGGCACAGAAAAAAAAAAAAAAAAAGAGCAAAGGTTAATAATTTAATATATTAAGTTAGCCAAAAAGCCAATGAGATATAGCAGAGGGAAATTGTGATCCTATCTGAATTCAGCTAAAACTAAAAAAAATCAAAGGCCTAATTTTAAAATATTGTTAAAATAAAACTGTAAAGGTAGAAAGCTCTGACCCCATGCTCAGAGATGCCAATGAGTGGAACATTTTTCTAAAACCTTCCTCCATGTCTGACATTTCATAGATTTATTTAAAGAATAAGAATCATTTTCCACTTTTGCTTCACTACAGCCGTCCAACTAGCATCACCAAGTGCCAGTCGGTTTCTACCTTCAGCTCAGAAAACCTCTCGGTATCAGACGGTGAGGAGGGCCACACCACTGACCACTCTCACAGCGGCACGCCTGACGTGGTCAGCACAAACACAGACGACAGGTTGGACGACCGTAGTGATGACCTCCTCTCCCAGGGGTCGGAGATCCCGGCAGACAACACTGATCCTGCACAGACGTCTGACGGTCTGTCGGAGAGGGATGGTGCTCCGGGCCAAAGCAAACCTCAGCTGGACGCCGGGCAGAATCCTAATGAGGTAAAAGAAAACCCACAGTGGTTTGAATATGTCATTTTGTATTGTTCTTTCAGAAAGAAGAAAAAACAACACAACCAACTGAAAATAGAAAGCAAAAAATAAAAACAACTGTATGTCGTCAACAATGACACAAATCAGTCGGATTTATACCTTGTTGCAGCAAAGGCCTGAGTGTAGTTCTATAGGGATTCTATTAGATAGACAAACAAAAAAATAGCAAATTGCTTCGAAAAGGAAGTAATATTACACACAGGGCCAGATCTACTAAGATCCCAATATAGAAGTGCTAAACTGCTTGTGAAAACAAATATTTGCTTGTGCAATTAGCTGATGTCTTGCAGGTTATCTAAGGTATCATGCCGGTTTAATAAGAGGAGCAAAAGTGGTTACTTATTTAGCACTTTAAGATGCATATCAGCAGGCTAAAGTGCTTTACACATGCAAGAGTTAATAATTTTAAACTTAACAGAGTACAGACTAGAAAAAATAATACATAAAAATATCAAATATAGAGCAGGGAGATTTAAAAAAAAATATAAAACTACAAAGGTCATCATCTAAACCTGGGTTAAAAGCCTTAAAGGTAAACAGTGTTTTAAAAGAAGATTTAATTACAGTAAGTGATTCCAGTTGTTCAATTTTTAAATGTCATTTGTTCCAGAGTTTTGGTGCTATATCAAAGGAAGAGTGGTCACCTCTTTGTTCTCTATGCTTTGGAACGATCAATAAAAATGTATCTACTGGCCTGAGCAAAACAGAATGGATTTATTTTTCTCAGTTCCAAAGGCAGTTAAATATCAGGGTTAATGGAAAAGATGCAGACAGAAAAGCAGAGAAATGACTTTCTCTGGTTTCTTTGTTGAAATTAAAATAATCAGGCGACTTGGAGGCACAAACACTAACTTCATGTATATGGGTAATTCAAATTCTCAAAACCATTCATGGTCATGATGGTAATGGGTTAATGCCTTGTTAGTCAGAAATCTTTGTTACCTTATCCAGAAACCCCAGACGCATACAGTAATACTCTTTTTTTTTTAATGAATGGAGAACATATTCTTTTCCTTTTCGTAATTACAGACAATGTTACAGCGTAAAGAAAGGGAAAAACTGTTGGTTGGTCAGAGAACATTTTTCTATTTTTTTTATTTTTTTTTTTTACAAATGATCATCATTCGCAATGCATAATTTTACCAACAAACAACGTAAGAAGAAGCTGCTGTAGATTGTGAGTTTTCACCAACTTAATGCCACTTCTATCAAAGAGTACATTTATATTTACAGATGCTCAGTTCAGTTCAGTAGCTCTTATTTGTCCCAGTATGGGCAATTTTTGTGCAATAGTAGTACACCTTTCACACACACATTCATATTTCACAAATAAAAACACAAGAAACACATCAAATATTTTAAAAAGATAAAATTAAGGTGGATAAAAAAAATAATTGCAATTCATTATACCCTTCTCAAAATTAAAGACTTATTGCAAACTACTTTTCCTTTTTGATCTGACAATTACGATTAGAAGGATATAGGGACAGGTGCAAGGCGATACAACAACCCCCTGTCCTCCAACCTCTAAAATGAATCCAGTCGTATTGGACAGCACACCAGAAAGAATTTATGGGAGATGCCAAAGCTAACTTGTTGGTTTTCTGGAAAGATGCTTCCAGATGCAAAGCAATGCAGGGGTGCAATGAGTTAAACATGTAATAATCTTGCATAGTCTTCTCCTTTACTCTGATCCACTGGGGTATCTGAGTAAAAAGTGAAGTGGAACCAATTGCCTTTATAAAATTATTTTATCATAAATCCAGCTGTTCTGTGGAGACTTCTGGGATTTGTTTGTGATCATTAGAGAATGAACGGGTTCAGGAAGAATAGGAAACAGAGCAGACAGGTCAGGGAAAAGGTTATGGAGAATATTAAAGCAACACTGGGTATAAAAAAACAAAGAGCCAAGCTTTAAACATCTCACAAGTGAAAGGAGCTAAAAGACCAACATTCTTCCAAATATGAAAGAAAAAGTCTAAAGTCACCTTGTTCAGATTATTCTCCAAGTAAAGGCAATGTGTGGCAGAAACATCTTTTCTAGGAGAAAGCAGTTTCTCCTTAAAAGGGTGTTCAAAGCCTGAACACACCATCAACATGATGTAAAGTGGTGGTGGCAGCATCATGCTCTCAGGCTGCTTTTTTTCACAAAGGACATGAAAATTGGCCAGAGTTGATGGGATGAGGAATGGAGCTAAACACGGGGACAGGTGTAAAGAAAACTTTATGGCCATATTAGACTATAGACCACAGCAAAAGTTCACCTTCCTGCAGAATAGCAACCTGAAGCTTACCAGCAGAGTCCCAATGGAATGGCTAAGGAGAAAACATTAGAACAGCCTAAGTCAAACTCTTCAGGGAAAATGTGAAGAAGTTTGAGAGGTAAAAAATAGTTTAGTAAGTTTCCAGTTGAAGAAGAAATGCCTGTGATCTAAGCACATGCAAGAGAAGCAAAAGATAAAGCTACTTGACTGTTTCTAGAATTGAGAAATGACCTACACCATGAAGTTTAGCTGAAAACTCTTCCCTGCAGAACATATTCTTGTGTGGTTGCAATTGGAGTACATCATATTCTAAATATTGCATTGCCTTTATATTTACTTTAACATGATTACAAAACAGGCTGCTCAGTGGAACAGTGGGTTGCACTGCTGCCTTGCAGGAAGGTTCTGGGTTAGATTTTCGGCCTGGGATCTTTCTGCATGAAGATTGCATGTTCTCCCTGTGCATGCGTGGGTTCTCTCCGGTTACTCTGGCTTTTTCCCACAGTCCAAAAACATGACTGTTAGGTTAACTGGCCTCTCTAAATTCTCCTTAGGAGTGAGTGTGTGCGTCAATGGTTGTTTGTCCTGTTTGTCTCTGTGTTGCCCTGCGATGGATTGGCGAGCTGTCCAGGGTGTAGCAGACCTCTCCCACGTGGACTGCTGTAGATAGGCACCAGCACCCCTCGCGACCCCAGCTGCCCAGCTGGGATAAAGCATGATGGAAAATGGATGGATGGATGATTACAAAACATATTTAACAGAATCCTTTTTCAAATAATTGTTATGTCTATTTATCAAGGTTAAATAGGTGAAATTAGTAATATTTACTTTCATTTGTGTTCATTTCAAGATACAAACGTCAATAATTACTCCATAAAAGCATTCATTTATTTAACATGGTAAATAAGTCACTTTGACTCTGTTTTTTGTATTTTTTATTTTAGAGTCTTGAAACAGATAACTAAAGTTAGTGTGTCAATATCTGATGATGTGATGTTATAATTTCCATAAAGTCTTTTATAGGGAGCTTTTCTACAATAATTAAGCTATTCAATTGCATTGCTCTTTCTTGTGCAGTGCCAAATAAGAAGAAGAGTTTGCTAAAGTCATTCATTTAAATTGGGATAATCCAGACAAATAAAAAAAAACTCATATTAGAAAATAGCACAAAAAATAATATGTAAATCTATATACCTTTTTGTTCCCAGAAGTGTACAGATATCTGCAGAGGTGGACATTATGGGTCCAGCATGTAAAAGCCGTTTTCCTCATGTTGTTCACTTAACTAGGTGATTGGTCCCTGGGTTTGGCCCTTAAAATGCTAATTGGTAAAGACTCTTAAACCAAAGTGAAAGTGTATCAGTGGTAACCATGATGCATACTGTCCAAGTAGTGCTGGCAGTGAGGAAGATGGTGGAATAAAGGGAGCAGGATACTTCCAACAATAGTTAACTTAGCATGGGTACCTTTTGAGGCTCACATCTGGTCCTTTGGAGCTATATTGATTCCCACAGTTCTTTATGTGACAGGAGATATAAGCACAGCCCACCTCATGGAATTTGACAAAAAAAATAGATTTACTTATGTGTACTCCATGTGTCACATGCAAATCTACACACCTTTATATGTTTTAGATTTAATAATGAGAACTACAGCCATTGGTGTTACTAAAGTTTTATTTCTGGTCAGCTGTAGTCCCAGATTTGACAAAGATCATCCACATACGGTAAAGTCCTGTTATGACGTCCGTCAGGCTGTAGGATGTTTTGATTCATCCTTTTTCAACCACGATAGTGTTTTTACTGTTGATCTCGCAAAAGGAAGAAGAATTAGAGGCTACAACTGGGTATATTCAGTTGGACCCCCTGTTTATATTAGGAAGCTGAAAATGCAAATGGTTTGAACTAATCTCTGTCTAAAGTTTTTACTTTCTGGAATTGCATTTCCCACATTGTCATCTCTGGAATAATGTCTTTTGTTCATAATTTTAAGATACTTTTCTTATAACACTTTCACACCAATTCTGTATGTGACACATTTTCTGCCCTGTTTTTCGTCAGAGCCGCGTCTTGTGCGACGATTCTGACTGTGACAGTGCTGAACTGGATCAGTCAGGCAGTGGAGAGCCAAGTCGACCCCCTAGTGCCGGAGCGTGGGTGTCGCCATCCCAACCCTATCAGGTGTCTCCACAGACGCCCAACACTGGACATCCACCCTAGATCGTCAGTCCTAAACAAGGACCTTCAGCCAGCTTACAACGAGCAACCATCACAGGCGTACACCAATCTGTCAGTGCAGTACATTACTGTTGCCATGAAGGACCACAACTAATAAAACACTCAGACAATGACAAGTAGGCTTATGGTGTCTCATAAATGTTGGCAGGCAAACCTGTATTGGATTGTATAGGACATTTGACATAACATTACAGATATAATCAGATACTGTATTTTGGCAGCTTGTGACCTCAGTTAAATGTAATTTATGTTAAGTAGGGTCGTTTTAAGGGAAAATAGTTACCACGTTAACCTTAGGCACTATGCCAGTTCAGCAAAAACCCATCGTTAGATGTGCACACACGCACAAGAAGATACTACACTCTCTAAAGTAGTCCTTAAAACACTTTAACCCTCACTCTGGGAGCATCCTCCATGATTCTCCACACTCTAATGCATCAAATACTAATGAGAAATAATGTAAATATACAGTATGTACCACAAGAAATGTTTAACTTTATTTTATATGTAAGATAAAATGTAAGACTAAACTGTATGCAGCCCAGTGAACAAATGCATGACTACATGTGTATAATTTATGTTTGAATGTGTCTGTTTTCTATTTTGTGAAAGTTTACACTTTTTTAATCCTGAAAGTCTTAATTTAGTTACCTAACCTAACTTTTTGTTTAATAAATGTCAGCATCACAAATGACTAAAAAAAACAATGAATTAAATATCATGAAAACACTGATCATGATGGATAAAATGGAATTTGAGTAGGTGACACATAATTATTGAACTCTTATTGAGTTTTAAACTCATTTATGACACATAATGTTTTTATAAGTAAATCAGCTAGAAAAAGGAAGAATTTAGGGATCACTTATATTGCACCTCTACCTTTTTTAACTTGACCTGGTTGACTAGTTAGGCACTACAAGTGTAAAATGACTGCACAGAATCTGGTGTTCCCGATTTCAATACGGTAACTTTAAGTCAAAATTCTCAAGCAAAAAACATTCTCTTCTACTTAAGAAATTTGCAAAAGAATTATTGTATTTTTCTGCCCTAAAATATGGTACAGTAAGCAGATATATCTTTATTTTCCAACGAATGTTCTTGTAATGCAATCACTCCGCACCTGTGCTAGCTGCTTATGCTAACTAAAGTTTGTTTAGCCTACTGAGCATCATAAAAGATATCATATTCAGGGAAATGGAAGTTTCTTTTTAATTTTTTTTAAATCTTATTAAAGTTTTATTTTAAATTCCCCCTACAACAATGTCTCCCCATTCTAATAAAAACACACTTGGTGCTATCTGCCAATGCTAACTGAATTAGCTTTTTATAAACCTATACCTTTATATAATAAAATGTGTCCATAAATGAATAATTGAAACTTGATATGTTAAAACAAGAAATATGAACTTTTTTCAATTTCCTCCGTTGCTAAAATCTGGTTGTAACATTTACTACATCACAAAATGTAGCAATAATTAATGCTATTAATCATTATTGAAGTGCTATTGGGCTAAATCCTAAACCTTTTAGTTCTGCACTTTGACCTTACTCTCCACATTCATAAATTAAAATTTTATCTTTTTGAGTGAGGAATAATTATTAAATTTATACCAATATCATTACAATGCATTTTCTGCAAACTTAAGTCTTTGGTTTGTGGTCTGAAGACAAACGAAACAAGTCAAGCCTTTTCAGCACTGCACTTTGTTCTTGCTGATCAATAATACAATGAAATCTAAGGGATCATTCACAGTTTACATCCTCTTTACAAGTGTACAAAACATACACTTGGGGGGGGATAATATTAAGCTAGTATTATCGCACAATTTACCATTTGCACGTTGACACTGATTTTCAGTCAGTTAATTTAATTTCTGATTAATTTTGAAAATATAACCTTGGGGGTTTGTAAGTGATTATTATACCATAAAATAGCTGCATATGTTCTTTAATACTTAGTCCCAGCTACAATAAAATAGAAAAATAGGGAAAATCCTCAAATTTGGTATGGTTTTAGGGGTAGAGATGGTCCTAGAAAAGTATGTGTTGAACACTTGTTAAAATTTTGAAAATTGTGAATGAACCTTTACTTTGTTCATGCAATATTATATTTAAAAAATATTTATTTAAACAATTTTCAACAGTTATTCCTCATTGGTAAAAATCCATTTGCATCTATTATAATCCATAGTGTTAGCTGGTAATGCTAACTAATGCGTATGGTTCTGATAAACAGATTTTGTTGCAAAGTGAACTAAATTAAACAAACACTGTTTACAGAGTTAGTGACAATAGTCTCCAACTCCATATGTTCATATATTGTTTCTTTTTTTTTTACTGAACTGCACCAAGACTGAAATTTTCACTAGAGGCACCTTTTGCTTTTTTAATCTTGCTCAAATTGTGTTACTTTTTGTAGTTCTGTGCAGCCAATTGTTAATGTATGAAAACCCCTCCGAGGTTTTATTTAAAAAAATTGGGCTTTGTATTTATTTGCGACTACAGGGTTAGCAAAGGGCTTATCACCTTGGCAGGGTGCACAAACACTTCCAAGCCTGAACGTTTCCCTTTATTTGCAGTTTTCATGAAAGCAACATTAAAAGACGTCACAGTTTTACTCAGTAAAATCTTTATAAAGATCATTGTGAGGTAAATTTAGAGGTGATTCTTTTTTGTAATGAATCATAGGCCTCCTTAGACTTAAACTCAACCGTTCCTTTGACCCTTTAAGATAAATGCAGGAGTAGCTAAATAAAGAGTAGAGCACTTCCTAATAGTGGTTTCTAGAAAAAGTAAGTATCCGTTGGGTTTAAGTATTCATCTTGTTTTTATACAGCATTGCACATTGTACCTGTACCATAGAAATTATATCAAAAATGGAATTTAATGAGCAAGAGTAAATAATGTATTGGTTGAAAACAAATGTGTGAACTTGAAAAATAAGGGGACATATTATAGCTACAGTTTGTGCTGTTGCTGTGTCACGTGAGACAGCTGAACGAGAAATAAATTATTTTCAATGACTTTAAGCATGTCATAAATGTTGCAGTGTCTTTTCTTGTATTGTGAATTTACCCTTCAGAAAAAAACATGTAGATTGCATGTTGAAAACTTTATTTATTTCAGTGATTTAGTTCAACAATCTAACTCAAGTATAAAATAATTACACACACCACTTTTATTAAGCATTTATATCATTTCATTCTCATGATGGGTTTCATACTGTGGCCACTCTAGTTACAGCTAGGATTTTCAATTGATATTCAATTTCTCACAAACTTGAAATGTAAAATAAGACTAATGGGGGGAAAGTGTTTTGTGATGTAAGCTATTGTCCTTTAAAGGAGCTTATGCCTCTGGGTTTATTCCATTTTTTTTTGCCTAGAGCAATAAATATTTATATCATAGTGATTACTATTATAGTAAACAACTGTTAAACAGGTCTTGAATCTAAACATAATTTAAATATAGCAATAATGAAAATAATGTTAATAAGACATTTTATAGCACTTTCTAAAAACTCAGACACTTTACAAGAATCAAGCAAGATTATAAAAAGAACAGCTGACTGCACCAAATAAAAGGAAAGAAAAAAAAGTAGCACTTAAATACATAGCTGAAGAGATTTAAATCGCATGTCGGTATAAAACAAAACAGTCATACAAGGCAAAGCAAATTTATCTGTATAGCACAATTCAGTGCAATGACAATTCAAAGTGCTTTACGTAAATTAAACAGTAAAATGTAAAGAAAATAAAGATAAAAACATGATAAAAGCAGGTTATAAAAGCAAATAAAAGAGTTGGACCAAAAGCTAAGTAAAAAAAAAAAGTCATGAAAATTAACTAAACCTAACTAATGATACCTCAATTAAGATTTTAAAAATCAACAAAGGCTGTTCAAAACAAAGTAACTCAGACTTTCTGCACTTTTACAGTATTTCTTGGAGTCTTTTCCAGATAAGTTAAGCAAATGAACTAAAAGCTGCTTCTCCATGCTTGGTTCTAGTTCTGGGTGAACAGAGTAGGCTTGAACTAGAAGACTTGAGGTGTCTGGAAGGTTGATACACTGACAACAGATGTTATATATTTAGGAGTATACCTTAAAAGCTGCTGTGTATCCTTCATCAAGCCAGGCCCTTAAGAAGAGCAACTGCATTATTATTATTACCTATATAGGACATTATATATTTATGGGCAGCCCTGCATCTTCCCATTATTTTCTCCAAACCCTTTGACTCAGCAATACAAATAATTTCTTATATCCTGACAAAAGGGATCTGTTCTTCAACTGATCTGACTTCTAAGGGAGACAAATAAACAATAAAATGATATATACTATATTATGAATAGGAAAAATTACCTCTGATTAATTAATTAATTAATTAATGCAAAAGTAGACATGTCTATTATATTTAACACCTACGTATTTTAGGGTCTAACAACTCTTTCTATAGATATTAAAGAGTTCCTAACAACTCATCCGAAAATTCAATTCAAAAACACTTTATTAATCTCAAAGGTAAATTAAATGTTGCAGTAGCTTTTTTCAATGAGTTTTTGTAGGTTAATAGCTGTAGAGGAAGGTTCTTCTGTAACGGTCTGTCTTGCACCTGATCTGGAGAAGCTTCTTACTGAAGATAAATTGTTTAAAAATCTTCTGAAGAGGATGCTCACTGTTGTCCACAATGTTCTTCACTTTATGAAGACTTCTTCTTTATAAAATAATCCCCAGAAGTTCTTGAGGAGTTCCTAGAACAGAGACGGGCGTCTTTAATAGCTTGTTGAGCTTATAAGTCATTAGCTTTGATACTGTTACCCCAGCAGATGATGGGAGAAAAGGTCACACTCTCCACAACAAACAATAGAAGACATGTAGCATATTATTGCAAATGCTGAAGGACCTAAACTTCCTTAGGAAGTACAATCTGCTCTGTCCCTTCTTGCAGACAGCTCCATAGCTGCGTCTCCAGTCTATTTTTCTTTCAAGGTGAACAACAAGGTATTTATACTTCTTCACTTCTTTTCCCATGATGTTAACAGGATTTGACTTGTTCCCGTTTACAGCTTTTTTTTTTTTTTAATCATTTGATGTGGAAGAGTTTATCTTCTGCCTGATATTGATATTTTGCAGTTATTTGTATATGTTTTTGTCTTTAAAATTTTGTCTAAATGTTTTATAATATTAAATAATACATTATCCTCTTTTTCTTAAGAATAAGGTCGCCTTTTACACAAAATATTGTTTTACTATGAGTAATTATTTGGGGATTCTACCTCACCTTCCTCTTCATAAGTCTACCTATGGATTAAATACATGTGAGGTTGCTGGCCGAAAGAGCACTTTTGTCATATCATGGTATTAAACTACAATATGAACTTTTGACCACACAGTTCATGGTTTGCCTTAAAATGAAATCAATACCGCCATAAAATCAACAAAGATTCAGGAATCATTCATATATTTGCAGGTACATAAACAAAAAGGCCAATGTATTCTAAAGACATGGCTCCAGAAAAACTGTTGCATGTGCCACCTCTTTTTTCCACTTATATGACTGAGTACAGAACAATGAACAGCCAGTTATTTATAATCATTTAAAACCTAATCTCCCAGTTGAAGGTATCAGTAGCTCTGCTGGACAGCTGAGACCAGCAGTGTTAATCATTACGGTGCAGGGCACAACAGTTTCTGTACTACAAATATAATAGAAGCTAAATGTTTAGTTTTTTTTGTTATAAACATTTAATGAATGCATGAGATACATTTTTCTGTCTAAATCCAAAATATATGCTTCAATGAGCTGAATTATTGATATATTGATGTTCTAAATTTATTGTGATCCACACAATAAGAAGAATGACCAAGCATTGTTTAAGCATTTCACATCTTTTATTTTTGCATTTCAATTCTTCAACAATTTAATTGCACCCAGATCTACAATAGTTTGAAAACGTGCACAAAAAACGTGAGTTTCTTCATCCTGCAAAGAATAAAAAAAATAAAATCTGACCCAGGCAAAAAAGGATAGCAGGAAACTAGTGTTAATTCTATAGTTCTCCTTCTAGTTAATTATAATTTAATACTTCAGCTTAATATACTTATAAAGACAATTATGTCTTTAGTTTTGCCCCTTGCAGCATTCCCCAGCCCAGCAGTTAAAAAAAATATTTTCTCTATTTAAAACAAATATTTCAATGTTATCGACACCACAACTATGGTCTTAGTTATTTCTGAGAAAAGAAAAACTTTGTGTCCAGGATGACTCCTGGGGATCAAGGTCCACCAACCTTATATCAAATCAATGTAATGCTCCAAAAGTCCAGATTAACAAAAGAAAAAAAAAATATACAAAACCAGATGATAACACAGGAATGACACAAAAAACGATTACTGAGCAAGTTAGAAGTGAGACATGATATAGCTTAATAAGATCCGTTAACCCGCACTAAACAAATCACCTTCAGACTTAAAAATTGTATTGTTTTTCCTGCATACATATTCAGCTCCTTATTACACACCAAAACCCGTTAGACCCACAATGCCTCATTCAGGAAGTACAGCTTCAAACAGCAAATGCCAAATATTAATGAATTCTACTTATACAAGGAACTGTATATTAAATAAAAATAAATATTTAAAAAGAGGGGAAAGAACAGTCCATCTATTATGTTATTGTGTTTTTTTTCTATTTTTTTTATTTTCTAAGAAAAATCTGATGTAAGAAAAATCTTATTTATGCTTTTCAGATTTTTCTAAAACATGATACTTACAGTTTATCAAGAAGATCTTACAGATATACAGCAAAACAAGAGGAAAAATACAACAGAAGAAGATCTTTGAAAACTATATGCAAACAGAATTTAAAACATAATAAATAAATAAAATACCAATAGCATTATGGTGTAATTACAACTGAAGTAGATGTCTAACCAATGCAGGAGAAAGCTGTTGATTTATAGTACTTGGTTTTTGCATTAAGTTCAATAAGGGACCTCTTGGTAAAAAGTCGGGGCAGGGGTTAAAGTAGATGCTGATGAAAATCCTCCATGTCAGTTGGCTGCAAGGCCAGTAGCTTCAGAAGAAAGCCTGGAAAGAGAAAAATGACATTTAAAGCCAACTACAAAGTAAAATAAAAGAAAACCAAGGATAAATGCTACAGTTGTCCAAGTATCTATATGCAATAATAACCAATGAAAGTGTCCAATTTAATGTATCTGATAAACAGCAGGATAAAGAAAGTATAAGGACAGATGAGGAATCTGACCTGCTGAACGAGGATGAGATAAATGAATATATTTTTCCATTACATCTTTTCTCAAATGTGACAAATAACAGGGTTCCAACATATTTTATATTTTAAATTGTCATAAGTTTTTATATCCAAATGCTTTTTGTTTGTTTGTTTTTTTTTTTAACACATTTACTGTCTCATGGTATTGCATTCATAAAATCTGATTACAACATTTAGTAACATT